AGATCCAAAAAAGAAGCTTGTCATTGTCTAACTGTGTTCTTTATGCCTTACCAAAGAAAGCTGGCAATTATGTAATTATAATTATGCATTAAGTGGATATTTACTGCACAGCCATATCTTTCAATCCGGTGTCTAGAACTATGAGGGAGCAGAAACCATTTGTTATCTCTTGTATGGCATTTGTTATTGTTACTAAAATGCAATGGGACATTGTCTGATGTTTCTGTGTATTTTTTTAAGTGAAAAATAAAAATCTGAATACAGATCTATGTTAAATGCTCTTTTGATGTTATTTTATCTATTCCAGGGGAACATGGTGTGCCAAGATCAGGGCTCTTTTCATAACTTTATGCATGTGTTTTGCATTGATATTACATATAGTAAAAGCTGGGGCCAGAATATGTTACCATAGCTTTTTAATTGAGTCATTTCATGCAGGGCTTTGGATATGAGTCTCACTACTGAATATTGCAGATGGTGGATGGCTGGTTATGTCCATGCCACAGGGTCTGATGCATCTCCCTGCCTTCCACTGCCTTTTTGAAGATACTTCTAATTCTGTCATTGTGGCACTCTTGGTGGGCTAAAGTATGCCTAAGAAATACTGGTGCCATAAAAGAGCCTGTTCTATTTTTTTTTATGAATGAAGTTTTTTTACTGCCATGGTTGATATACATAACCTCCAAAGATTGTTTTCCAGTCATTCAGCTTAAGGCCTTTGAAAGTGCCTGAATATTCAGCAGCCTCTTTTCCAGTGAGCTGATGTACCCTTGTGCTGAATCTTTTGTTTCTCAAAAATTCCCAATTGCCTTTAAAAAAATGTTATATTGTTCCAATTGGTTATAAGAGGATCTGGATGCTTTTCATCTACATCCTTTTTTGTACATGGCAAAAATGTGTCCTAGTGCTGCTCCATTTCTTTGCATTCACATGCCCTAGCAGGAATGGTGATAAAAGGTAAATTTATTCATGTTGTCTGTGCAGTTATTGAACCAATCTCGAGAGGTACTAGTAGACTCCCTCACCATCAACCCACCATAGGTCTGTCTTACTCACCTCCTCATATACCACCTCCATTTCGTCAGACGAGTTGTATGAATAAAAAAGGTAATTTCGATTCCCCTTAAGAAAATGCATGGTTTCCTTTCTGGTCAGATGAGGTCGGGGCTGTGGTGTTCGACGTCGGAAGCCAGAGCCTTCGTGCTGGATATGCTGGGGAAGATTCTCCAAAGGTGACCTCATTCTCATCTTGGGACTTTTTCCCTCATATGATTTGCTCTTTCTGGGATCACATCTGGATTCCTTCTCTACAGGCCGAGATCCCATCTTTTGTGGGAGTCTACGAGGAAGAAGTGGAGCGAGATGGAAACAAGAGCATGGAGAAGAAGTATCTCATTGACAGCACTGCCATTCGTGTCCCTAAGCAAGGTTTGGGTCTCTGTTCATCTCACTTGTTGGCATGGATGTGGTTGAATGCAAGAAGTCATGGAGTCAATTGAAAAATAAATAAGTTAATTTAAAAAACTATAGATAGCCATCTGCAGTTTTTGTTGCTTATAGATTCAGTGAAAGTCAAGACATTCTTAATTGGTCATCACTCCATGGATATCTGTACTTGAAGAGAATTCAGACATTTTTTTGTTTCAGTTTTGAGAAAATAAGCTAGATTATTTTTTTTAATCCCAGACCTTTGTTGTTGGTCTCATAAATTGCAAGGATGAATGAGGCACTGCTTGGCATGTTTTCTTCCTGAACAGGAATGCACTGAACACATTGACGCTGGGGACCGTAATATTTCATTTATAAACCCATATTGTACTGTGGTTGCTGGGGATGAATGTGTTAATTTTACCTTGAGCAATATGCCTAATTTTTATATCCTTGGAATTACGTATTGTGCATTGAGTGTGTATTTTTCAACCTTTAAGTATAATTTTTTCAGAATTCTCATAATTGGAAAGGCAGATTGGCATTCTAAGCATGCCAGTGGTAATGTGATTTAGTGACTGGTCAGTCTGCTGGATCTCTTCAGGAGTGGAGATGCAGACGTACCTGAAGGACGGGATGATCGAAGACTGGGATCTGTTCGAGAAAGTCTTGGACTTCACTTACAAGAAATACATCCAGTCTGAATCCCTTTATCATCCTGTGCTCATCTCAGAAGCTCCAGTTCGTTTACTTGTCTGATTCCTTCTTATATGGCACAACATATATAACCAACAGTGATAATAGAGGCCTTGCCTTGCACGATTGATCGCAGTCTGCCGTGGAAATGCAGATAATCAGTATTATTCCCATACTTGCAGTGGAACTTAAAGGCCAAGCGAGAAAAGCTGGTGGAACTGATGTTTGAAAAGTATCAGGTACCAGCTTTCTACCTGGTGAAGAATGCAGTGTTGGCCTGCTTTGCCAACGGGCGATCTACCGGTCTGGTTCTCGACAGTGGTGCCACTCAGACCTCTGCCATTCCGGTTCATGATGGATTCGTTCTTCAGCATGGTGAGCCCTGCCCTTCTTTGGGGGAAACTTGTGAGGCATTCAAGAAATATTGAGAATTTATTCAGTAATAGGAAAACATTAGGTGGATGAATGTAATAATTTCGTGTTTTCTAAAAATTCTCTTCCTCCACCGTCACACATTCTTTCAGCATTGCAATCCAATCAGGAAGTGCTTGCCAAAACTCCTGTTTAGATTCCTTTGTGGTTCTTGTATGTGGGAGTGCTGATGGCATTCCTGGCCTTGACTCTCCTACCTGAGAGCTCTGGTCTGAGTCAAAAAGAGAACCAGAAGTAGCTCTAGGCCAGTCCAGTTAATGGGATAGGTGAAGTAGTTTGTCATTCCATTTTTTGGTCCGATGGTCATTCACACTGCACAAAATACAGCCAAATTTATTGTTATGCAAGGACATTCCCTGCCGCCCAGTCTTTTGAGTGCTGCTTCAGCTTCAGTTTCATGCAAGTTGACTTAAGACTAGATCTAGACTAGGCCTAGACAGTAAGCAATTCAGCGTTCTAAAATTTCGGAAGAGAAGTAAACGTGTTAGGAGGGTTCAACTAAAAGATGGAAACCTTCAGACTTGTACTCCGAAAACTGATTGTTGAAGAGAATAGCCGTCTAGAACTAATATGTCCCACCGGGTTCTTTTGGACAGAAAGTCTAGTTTTTAAATTATTTATATTTCAAGATTCATCAGCCGAATTTGTTGTATGCAAACATTTGCTGTACTGGATTAATTCTCTAAATTATTGCCCCGAAAATTTTTTTTCTTCAAATGCCTGTTTCAAAGAAAGTCAGAGCGGCCATTGGAGTGCTAAGGAAAGAAAAAACGCTGGGAGCGAAGAAAAGGATTTCCTTTTGCAAAAGATTGATGAAACAGGTAGCAGTGATCGCAAGCTCCCAGCGATCAGTGAATCCCGCAGTTGATCATTGGAGGAACGGAGCGGGAAGTGTCGTTGAAAACAGAGCCTAACTTGTTGAACCTTTGCTTGTGGGGCAGTTCAGTTCTGAGCAGTGAAAATTCAGAGTGCCTTTCGGAAGAATTTAATTTCTCCAAAATATTTTGTCCAAACGTAGCCAAATTTTAAATGAAAGCCAGAAGTACAGTAGTTGGACGTTTGCATCCGAGAAATTAGACTATTCGACCTTGTAAAATAAAAAATGCAAAAATCCTGAAAGACAGGGGTCCAGGTTTTTTTAAGCCCCCCTGTAGAATGAGTTCACTCCTTTAAACATTTTCAGAAACTGCTTATCCCAACTTGATGAGGTCGCGGCTCGAGCAGGCGGAGGAGCATCATCCACTGTTCGCGATCCTGGGCACCGGACTCGAGTTAGACAGGTAGTATGGGGGAGGCGCGCGAAAGGGTTGCCATCTGGTGGGAGACGCGGGCAAAGGAGAGGGTGTAATGAGTGGGTCGAATGTGAATCGTTCCATGAGCGTTTTCTCCCACGCGTATGAGACGTGTCCGGCGAAGAAGCATGTAATTTCCCTGCAGATGAACTCGAAAGAGACGGGACGGGGTGGATTCGACCTGTGAAGAGGAAAAAGTGTTGAAGCTCGATCGTTGTTCAGGTCGAAGTTGAGATAGGGATGTCAAGAGGCATTCCTGGGCATTAGGACATCGCGTGTCAAGGTCGAGTGTTCCGTTATCATTCGTATCCATATCGTAAGATAGACCTACCCCTATTAAAGGCAGATATTTTAAAGGGAAAATATCCACCCTGGGCCTAGTCGCTTACATCTGCATTGCGCCCTTTTTTGTTTAGTTGATAAAAACATGAAATTTCCCCTTGAAGCTAATCCCGGAAGGGGCAGCCACTACGTCGTCACTTAACGCATTCCATGCGTTCATTACCCTACGAGTAAAGTTTTGTCGCAACCTGTGACTCACTTGGAGTTCTAGCAACTTGAGTTGGTTCCCTCTCGTTCTGTTGCCGTCATCGAACCTGAAAAGCCCTATCATTCCTTACGTTATCGATTCTCTTAATGATCTCAAATTCCTGGATGAGGTCTTCCTTGTTAACCTTCGAGCGAATACAGTCTCAACACTTGTAAACGCTTTTCATTTGTCCCTTCGATCATTATCTTGAGCCGTCATTGGACTTTCGCATGCGCCGTCGGTTCACTTGTATTTGTAAGCCTCCATAATGTAACGTAATGCTCTAAATGGAGTCTTATCAGCGCCATATTCGGCGGAAGAATAACGCACGAGCTTTTATTGAATATGGAACGCCGGATGAAGCCTAGAATCCTGTTACGTTTAGTTACCTCGCGTGCGAGAGTTGGAGTTCCTCATCGATGGTGATTCCTTCATCTCTCCCTCCGTTTGCCTCCTCCAGTTACAACGGGCTGAAACCCTACTCGTATCTCCATGAGGATTTCCTCATCACAGAGAGCAATGGACACGATGGTGAAGCCTTTTCTAGTCTCCCGCATCCGCGTGACCTGCACTGCTTTCGGATCGAGTTGGTACCTCGTAATTTTTTCTCCTGGTATCGCTCGGATGGGGTTTGGCCATCATGTTGCCCTACCTCCCTGACTCTTGTCCATTGGCGGCTCTTGTCTAAGTACGCCACTGCTTTTGAAGCATCGTGCCAAAAAATACGCTATGATTGGGAGCAGGCCGTGTAGGTCTGGATGTCGCACGACGGGGTCCGACGCACCCAGACGCGTCGGATTTCCCCGGCTCCGGTGACCGACTTATCGATAGTCACTCCGGAAGCAAAATGACCATTTCGGTCCCGATCGTCCTGGGCGACAACCGATACTGTATGAAACTCCCGAGCCCAACGCGTCGTGCAAGTTTTAGCTCGCCTTAATCATTCTCAACAGAAGCGCCTGTATCATGGTAGGATCTGGGGTACCACGGCCTTCCGAATCACTAGGGTCCATCCTAGGGACGTGGACGTAAGAACCATGGAAAGGGTACAAACGAGTACTACCTTCTGAAATCCCAACTTCTTCTCGGACTTGCTCCTATGTCACCCTGAAGTTCGCTCACCCCGCAGGTTTCACACATGTTGAATGTTTTCTTGGGTCACNGAAGTAGTTTGTCATTCCATTTTTTGGTCCGATGGTCATTCACACTGCACAAAATACAGCCAAATTTATTGTTATGCAAGAAGGACATTCCCTGCCGCCCAGTCTTTTGAGTGCTGCTTCAGCTTCAGTTTCATGCAAGTTGACTTAAGACTAGATCTAGACTAGGCCTAGACAGTAAGCAAGTCAGCGCTCTAAAATTTCGGAAGAGAAGTTTTGCACAATCCTCCCAAGTTGATTTTCTACCTTTGGAAGTCTGAACATGAGGCTTTTGACTAACAACTTCTCTTATCGGCAGATCTTGATTATACAGGGTGGCCCAAGAAAACCTGTCTTTCAGATTTTTTTAATTATTTATATTTCAAGATTCATCAGCCGAATTTGTTGTATGCAAACATTTGCTGTACTGGATTATTATCTGAATTATTGCCCCGAAAATTTTTTTTTCAAATGCCTGTTTCAAAGAAAGTCAGAGCGGCCATTGGAGTGCTAAGGAAAGAAAAAACGCTGGGGGCGAAGAAAATAGTGGAAGAGTTCCCTGATAAAAACTGGAGTGTCCCCAGTATCAATTTCCTTTTGCAAAAGATTGATGAAACAGGTAGCAGTGATCGCAAGCTCCCAGCGATCAGTGAATCCCGCAGTTGATCATTGGAGGAACGGAGCGGGAAGTGTCGTTGAAAACAGAGGCTAACTTGTTGAACCTTTGCTTCTGGGGCAGTTCAGTTCTGAGCAGTGAAAATTCAGAGTGCCTTTCGGAAGAATTTAATTTCTCCAAAATATTTTGTCCAAACGTAGCCAAATTTTAAATGAAAGCCAGAAGTAGTTGGACGTTTGCATCCGAGAAATTAGGCTATTCGACCTTGTAAAATAAAAAATGCAAAAATCCTGAAAGACAGGGGTCCAGGTTTTTTTGAGCCACCCTGTAGACTGAGTTCACTCGTTTAAACATTTTCAAAAACTGCTTATCCCAACTCGATGAGGTCGCGGCTCGAGCAGGCGGAGGAGCATCATCCACTGTTCGCGATCCTGGGCACCGGACTCGAGTTAGGCAGGTAGTATGGGGGAGGCGCGCGAAAGGGTTGCCATCTGGTGGGGGATCGGCCCATGTGGGAGACGCGGGCGAAGGAGAGGGTGTAATGAGTGGGTCGAATGTGTATTGTTCGATGAGTGTTTTCTCCCGCGCGTATGAGACGTGTCCGGCGAAGAAGCTACATTAAAGGGACGTCTACTTGAGCTTTCTCTGCCCTGCCCCACCTAAGCTGGACACTTCTCCTTTTTCACAACTTCGAGCTAGCAACAAGTCCAGCTTCAACTCTATCCCTACAGTTCTCCGTAAGCTGGGCATTAGGACATCGCGTGTCAAGGTCGAGTGTTCCGTTATCATTCGTATCCATATCGTAAGATAGACCTACCCCTATTAAAGGCAGATATTTTAAAGGGAAAATATCCACCCTGGGCCTAGTCGCTTACATCTGCATTGCGCCCTTTTTTGTTTAGTTGATAAAAACATGAAATTTCCCCTTGAAGCTAATCCCGGAAGGGGCAGCCACTACGTCGTGTGAATTGCGTAAGGTACGCAAGTAATGGGATGCTCATTTCAAAACAGCGTTGGACACTGAGTGAACCTCAAGATCGTTGAACTCAACCAAGGGAGAGCAAGACAACGGCAGTAGCTTGGACTTTTCACCTATCATTCCTTACGTTATCGATTCTCTTAATGATCTCAAATTCTTGGATGAGGTCTTCCTTGTTAAGCTTCGAGCGAATACAGTCTCAAGACTTGTAAACGCTTTTCATTTGTCCCTTCGATCATTATCTTGAGCCGTCATTGGACTTTCGCATGCGCCGTCGGTTCACTTGTATTTGTAAGCCTCAAAAATGTAACGTAATGCTCTAAATGGAGTCTTATCAGCGCCATATTCAGCGGAAGAATAACGCACGAGCTTTTGAACTTATACCTTGCGGCCTACTTCGGATCTTAGGACAATGCAAATCAATGGAGCGCACGCTCTCAACCTCAAGGAGTAGCTACCACTAAGGAAGTAGAGAGGGAGGCAAACGGAGGAGGTCAATGTTCGGGCTGAAACCCTACTCGTATCTCCATGAGGATTTCCTCATCACAGAGAGCAATGGACACGATGGTGAAGCCTTTTCTAGTCTCCCGCATCCGCGTGACCTGCACTGCTTTCGAATCGAGTTGGTACCTCGTAATTTTTTCTCCTGGTATCGCTCGGATGGGGTTTGGCCATCATGTTGCCCTACCTCCCTGACTCTTGTCCATTGGCGGCTCTTGTCTAAGTACGCCACTGCTTTTGAAGCATCGTGCCAAAAATACGCTATGATTGGGAGCAGGCCGTGTAGGTCTGGATGTCGCACGACAGGGTCCGACGCACCCAGACGCGTCGGATTTCCCCGGCTCCGGTGACCGACTTATCGATAGTCACTCCGGAAGCAAAATGACCATTTCGGTCCCGATCGTCCTGGGCGACAACCGATACTGTATGAAACTCCCGAGCCCAACGCGTCGTGCAAGTTTTAGCTCGCCTTAATCATTCTCAACAGAAGCGCCTGTATCATGGTAGGATCATGGGGTACCGCCGGCCTTCCGAATCACTAGGGTCCATCCTAGGGACGTGGACGTAAGAACCATGGAAAGGGTACAAACGAGTACTACCTTCTGAAATCCCAACTTCCTCTCGGACTTGCTCCTATGTCACCCTGAAGTTCGCTCACCCCGCAGGTTTCACACATGTTGAATGTTTTCTTGGGTCACAACGAGGTCAAAGCAGAAGTGATGTATTTCCATACCCTTCCAGTTGGAATCATGGTCAACAATATGCTGGGAAGGTGAAATTTCCCCCAATCCCAGCAGTGACTCCTTGTGAATGACTGCTGTTACAATTTCTAGTATTGTTCATATTGTGCCACACCTCCTGATATTGGAGTTTCACTCACAGACCACATTGTTTTTTAAATAGATGTCTCATACATGCATTCTACATAGTAAATATTAATCAGAAAATGACTTTTCAGTGAAGTCTCGATCGATTCTCAATAGTTTTTGGATTCCCCTTATGCTATCCTTTGAATCCAAATGTTTCATAAGATATATGTAAACCTTTTGAATTGATCTTTCTTTTATGACCTTTGATGACAATGACAAGCAATGCAAACAGATGTGACCATAACAGAGTGACATGTGTGATCTTTGGCAGCTATCGTGAAGAGTCCCCTTGCCGGAGATTTCATCTCTATACAATGCAAGAGTTATCTGGAGGAGAACAATATTGATATTGTGCCAACTTACTTGATTGAAAGTAAGGAAGCAGTGAAGGAGTATGATTCTGCAAAATGGGTAAAAAGAAAGAAACTTCCTGAAGTTTCCAAGTCATGGCACAACTACATGGTGAAGGTAGGAACCAAGATATGTAATGATCTTGTAGCATGTGATTTTGACATGATGTTGAGTTCCACTTTTGATTGTGACTCCCATAGGAAGTAGTTCAAGACTTTCAGGCAGCCGTGCTTCAGGTAGCAGATCAAGGCTACGACGAGGAGACCATCTCGAACATGCCCATGATCCATTTCGAATTTCCTTCCGGCTACCATCAGGTAGTGATTTTTTCCCCCATGTGAATGAGTGTGTCAAGATGAAACTGACAGGAGCATCATCTCTGTCCTCTGCAGGACTTTGGACCCGAAAGATTCCGCATCCCTGAGCCACTTTTCGATCCGAGTCGTATCCCTGGATCCAATTCTCCCTTGTCCATGGGAATGGCTCACATTGTGAGCATGAGCATCAACATGTGCGATGTTGATCTTCGGCCTGTGAGTCTTTCCCAGCCTTTCTGCTCTTATTTTACTTTTCACTTTGTTATAATATCACTTCTTGTTTCTGATGTTGTAGAGCCTGTACAATAGTGTGATAGTGACAGGAGGTAACACCCTCCTTCAAGGTTTCACTGATCGCTTGAATCGTGACCTGTCCCAAAAGACTCCACCTGTAAGTCGTCCTCTTTTGTCCCTTCTCTGATCTTGAATTTCTCACACATTTAATATATTTTATTATGTATTGATTAGAGCATGAGGTTCAAGATGATGAGCGCCAATGGAACCTCAGAAAGACGATTCGGAGCCTGGATCGGCGGCTCCATCCTTGCATCCCTGGGATCTTTCCAACAGATGTGGATATCCAAGTTGGAATATGAAGAGAATGGGAAGAGCCAAGTGGAAAAGAAATGCCCATGAATCTCTTTCAATCTCTCTCTTTCTGTGTCACTGTCTTCTCATGATCACCTCTGAATGATTAAATCAGAGAATGCCTCCTGTTTTATACAGCACTTTATTCATTCATGTATTTTATTCACTGCACACAATATTGATCTGGTACAGGTACATGGTAGCATCTTGATTCATTTAACCCCTTAACTGCTATGCCTGAGTTGCGTTTCTTATTTCTTCCAGTGGTCCTGCCAGAGATTTGTCTAAAACTTTAGGAACCAGTTCAGTCCTTCACTTATCTTATAAGACAAATAGAACTGTCATTATTAGCAAGAATCACAAACCCTGGCACAACTTGAAAAAAAGTAAGCAGAGGTATATAATACCCATGTATAATGTCACAGTTACAGGGGTAAAGGGAGAAGACATTTTGAAAGCCTAAGTAGGTCATGTCACTCCTCTTCAGGACAAAGATTGGCAACAAACATATGCATTCTTTGATACATGAGAAAAAAAACAACCATGATTTTCAGCCATGACTCAATGAGCCAAACTTGGCTCATGAGCCATAGGTTCCCGACCCCTGAGTAGGTCATGTCTTGGGAGAATGTAGTGATGTCAAAATGGAGAGGTGCACATGGAAGGAAGTTAGAAACGTAAGTGATCACCTTGTGAAGAGTTTCTACTTTCCACATTGATCATCCAGATACCTTGAGAATCACCATTTCTAAGATAATAAAGGAACATTGCACTCCCTTCTATATGCCAGAATGTGAAAAAGTAAATAAGTGAATTCCTCTTAACTGATTATAAATATTCAACAGTAATCAAGTGATACCTACAATGGTATGAGCATAAGATCGTTGGGTGGGTTATCACAGTAAAAAAAAGAAAAAAAAGAGAGGTAGGATGTAAAAATGTGCTTAGAGATGTTGAGTCAATGATCGGAATGCATCTTCATGCTTGTCCTTGTGTTTGTGATGGCAAGATTGCATCACTCCTTCATGTAATAAACTGGGTGCAGAGAGAAAAATGCTTTCTTGTTGGGATGCTTGCATTTGAAAAATTTGTGAAAGCTACAGTTGTGCATGTTCCAACATGTATGCATAAACAATTTTTCACAAATGTTTTTTTTTCTTCAGAGCTTTCCCCTTTCTGCTCTAGCTGTAGAAGCACTTTGAAGTTTTTGAATTAAATCCCTGCAAACCCAGGAAGACTCAGTGGATGCATGACAGGCTGGGCTTGCACCTGGATGGTTAATTGAAGACTTGGTCTTTGAAGGAAGTCAGTGCAAACTCTCATTTGGGGAGAGACCAACAAAGGGTGAGGATTCTGAAATATTTTACTGTTAACCTTCAAAGTGCTTCTGTGGTAGAACCAGGTGGAGAAATTGTGAAAAAATATTCGCTATAGAAGACAAGATGATGCAATAGGTGCATATATCCTGGAATTAACAAAACTATAGCAATAATCGATTTCTTGATAATAAATTTAAATACATTTTTCTCTCTCTGTACCCAGTACTTGCTCTTATGCAGAGGGAAGAATTCAATCTACAAGAGTTTCTATCTAATGATATAATTTGGGAAACTATGTAAAACTATTGACCAAGACCAGATGTGGAGTTAACTCCGTTTTCTGGCTAGCAACAAACAACTCTCTTTGAGAACAAATCTGTGCTTCTTCACAGATTGGACATCACTTCATTCTCCCATGAGATGAAATTCAGTGTTTCCTTCTCACCATTTTACAAGGTTGGAAGATACCATCACATGAAAAGGCACATCATTGCAAAAAATGGCAAAAGGAAAGGATATTGAATTTACTCACATAAGCCCTGCACCATTTCCTCCAAAATTCTACATAAAACTATGGGATAGGGTATTAAGATTCTCTACAAATGTAAGAATAAGAGTACCAGTATGTTGATGTGGTGATACTGTATTTGCAATAGTTTATCACTAGGATCAATAAGGTGCATTGCAAATGAGCTCAGGTTCCAGCCTGCATCATTGCCCACAGGTTTGATCTTCCAGCATACAGGTGATTTCCCATGGGTCAGAGTTTTCTGGGAGTGTGCTCTGCTGGCAGTGCTGTTCCAGTGAATACATAGACAGCTACATCTTTATAGTTCACCTGGTTTAACCCAAATTTCACCAGAATGGCCCATGAGAAACCACTTTAAAATATATGTAAATATGTGCAGGTGATATGCTTGGACTTTTTCCTCCCATTAGGTTGACACTGAAGATAAGGGTGCAGGTCTTATGCAAGTAATTATGGCAGTTAACTTTTCCCATGCCTTGCTCAAGACAGTACCATTCTTCTTGGAAAATTGTTGCAATCAAGTAGCATAATGTAGCCTTGATGTCCTTTACATCTGCCAGTGATATGACAAAATAGCTGGCAAGAAATTAATTTTTGCCTTAATTCAAAACATGAGGGCCAAATTCCCTTGGGTCTAAAAACTGTTTTGAAGTAGGAGATACAAAATACCATCAGCCATCAAAACCAATCACAATAACATGACAAAAGTGTAAATAACAGGGTGAAAAAAATCAAAATGGTTCACAGATCACAAAGGCTGGGTCAACAAGCAAAAGCAAAACCTTGGAGATACTTGGATGCAGGTTTTGCCATGAGGAGACTACAGTGAAAATGATTTGCTTCCATTCTTAACATCACATGTTAGACTTACACCTCATGGACTTACAGCACTTGCTAATACCTTGAAAACCAGATCAGCAGGAGCACAAAATAGAAGCCTGGATCAGTCTTACTGCTGATCTACTATAAATGCATGGAGATAAACTTGATAGTCAAAATCTGAGACTCGCAAGTCACCGGGAACGAAGGCCGGGGAGTGGAGTCCGACAGAGGAGATCGTGAACGGGAATGGATATGAACCCAGCAAGGGCAACTCCCATTGAATCTGAAGTGGTTGTGATTGACATGGCAAATGGCTTCACTGGGCCTTCCTCCAGCTGTGATACAATGAAGAAAGAAAACAAGTAGAACTATAGGGACCTTTCCTTCTGTTTAGAGAGAATTGAAAGTTATCATTTCACCTCAGAGGAAATGCGATAGAATGTGTTCACATATGCAGCTCCACCGAGGAGGCCCTCAAAGAAGATCAAAACAAAAACGATGGCTATCGATGGTAGAAATGCATAATATGCCTCCAGGAAGAACACCACGACGTTACCAAACTGCATGACAACATGTGGAGAGAACCATGTGATTTATACTGAGATATGGAAATAATTGTATTAGCCTAGATCTGTCAAAATAGACAAATTATAACAATCAATTATAACCACATCACTAATACCCAAGATATTAACCATGACATACCAGCACCTACTACAATTGACTGCTTATTAGAATGTTACTGAATGGAACATTTTACTTCATAGAATACCATAGTGTGGTCCTGATTGATTCTACCTTATTAAATTATTCTATCCAATTAATTTTGATCTTAACTTTGTCCTATTTATTTATTCATGTTAAGGAGAATATTCTATTAAGTGGCTTTCCCTTAAGTGGAGTTGACTGTACTTCATCATGATACTATACATACATGGGCAATTGTAGCGAGAGCTGATGCTGATAATAAACATCATCAAAATGTAGCCAAGCATAATGTCCTGAAAAGACCATCCACCATTTTCCTCACTCTTGCTACTTCCTTGCTGGTCAATGATCCTGTTTGCCCTCAACTTTGACACAAAAGTTTCTTATTAGTCATTTTCTCCTTTCATGACTGGTCCTCTGTTACATGATAATCATCACATCCCTCCATATACAAGTGATGCTGATATCAGAGATCATCATGATCAATGATGACAAAGATGTGTATTTGCAATGAGCCATCCAACACACAAGATGATGGTGTTATCTCACATTCTATGAACCTAATAACCATGTGCTCTTGAATGATGATAGCATTATTCCAAATAGCTATGATAACATATTAACATGTATATTATCATGAAGTTTCATAATTGTATTTTGATAGACAAGGGCAACTGTTAATTTTCACCACCGTTGGTAGAGGTGGGATGGGCATACCTGAAGTATAGTGAGGATCCAAGTTGCCCTGATGGGGAAGATGTTGACAGATGAACGTGAGAGGAAGACACCGATCTGGTAATCTACCTGATACCATCTGTACTGCTCATGATGATTCAGGCTGATTCCTCGAAAATACACGAGTTCAAACTGCAAATATAACACCACACCATCATTTGTACATCAGACTTGTACAAGATGGCACTTGCAGAAGAGTCCATCTGGACTATGGTTCATTATATGCATAGACAGAGAAGTAAACTGATTACTTATTATAAAACTCCAAATATTACACATTTCACAAAAGAAACTTAAAAAATGAAGAGGTAAGCTGACAGAGTAAATATTATTATTAAGAGCACCTACAGGTACAATAGGCTGAGAGAGTAAGAATCAACTCTCTTCACATTTTGTCTTCATTTTCTCTTCAGGCTCACAATTTTCGACATGAATAAGTAGGTGTTAGGAGCTGAAATTTCTCATCAGGTGGTCAACAAAAAACTTTTATATATATGCCAGGCATAACTACTGGAGTACAATGAGGGCCTTTGGCCTAATCCAAGCTGAAAATCTATTCCTTCCATACAGACATATTGCAATTTCAAACCATAGTACAGGGTGTCCCCAAAATACATTGACAGATTAAAATACACAATTTTTCATGAAAAAAAAAATCCACAAAATTTTGGCAAATATACCATTTTGTAGCATATTTTCTCCTCTGTCAGATAGACTTTAAATATTTTCAATAGCTATATCCTTGTCATTTTGGAGATGAAATCAAACCGTGATGTGATTGTGTGTTTGTTTCAAGAAGGAATAAAACAATCTGATATTGCTTGCTTGCTGAATTTTTCAAGGCAACCTGTTTCCAAAGTCATCAAAAGGAGATAGGAAGCAATAATGACTGCCCAGGAAGAGGCCTTCTTATCATCATCAAGAGGATAGGTTTCTTGAAATTTGTAGGCCTTCAGCTGGAGATCATTTTTGAGCATGCGATGGGTTGATGACTTGGATATTCCGATGGCCTTAGCAATTTTCCTAGCTGAGAGTCTTGGATTCCTTTGAATTCGGCTCTTGACCTTTCTTTGATTGGCAGTAAGTGTTTGCAATCCTCTTTCGGTATCTTCCTGAGCGGTCATTGTTGCTTCCCATCTCCTTATAACATTTGATGGCTTTAGAAACAGGTTGCCGTGACAAATTCAGCAAGCAAGCAATATCAGATTGTTTTCTTCCTTCTTGGAACAAATGCACAATCACATCATGGTTTGATTTCATCTCCAAAATGAAGAAGGACAAAGCTACTGAAAATTTAAAGTCTATCTGAAAGAGAGGAAAATATGCTACAAAATGGTACATTTATGAAAATTTGGTGACATTTAAAAAATTTTTAAATTGTGTATTTTAATTTGTCAACATATTTTGGGGACACCCTGTACAAGGATGTAAAAGTACATGGGTGATGGAATGATGAAGAAGCAATATGAGAGAGTATGTGGGCAAAATCTTTAAAACCAAAGAATTCCTCTTACCAAGCCCTGATTGATGAAGTACTCTGCAACATAGACTAGCATGAGAGGTAACATGAGATGCAATAATGATGGAATGTATTGGAATTTCCTCTTCAATGAGAGTGGCACTACTCCATCTCTTCTCTCTATTTCCTGCTCAGGATGGACCAGGATGAAGAAGAACCTGCAAAATTTGCATTCCGACACATTTCATTGACTTGTACATAGTGCAATCACTCGTACATAATTCATAAACAGGTTTAGCATGCTAACAAAAAAAAGCCCATGTATATCACCAGCCATACTACTCCCTCCCTGCTTTCATACTACCGTACAATGTGGGAACTGCTGTTGTGCTTCCACTCCAAAATGTGTAAGTGCTCTGAGTTTTATAGTATGATGTGATTTCTATTCAAGATGTGAGAATTATCTGTTAAAAAAAAGGGGAGATTTTGATCTTACCAATGATGCGATTCCCCATGCCACAACTTTGGCAAAAGTCTTAGTCTTTTTGAGTCCATTTGTCATCATCCTATCCATGGATGTCAACAGTTTATAGCATTTCATACAGCATGGAAGAAATCGATGTTGGTATATTGTCCTGAAGATGTTTTCAATAGCAGTCATGAATTTTACATGTGAGTATTTTTGGCAGATAAAAAGCATTGCTACTCTCATCTCAAAGATCAGCATGCTATATTTTCATTAGACTCTTTACCAAACAGTAGGAGCACATTGACTTGGTTATTTTCTTTTGAAATTATACTGGAATACTTCTACAGAAGTAGATTAAAACATCATTAAAATATATCCTGAAAAGCTTTTCAAGCTGAGCTGCAGCAGAATTGGCCACCACTTGATTTTTTAACCATACCAGGATATTAAGAATAGAACCTGTTGAATGATAACTTGAAATAGAGGTGGAAATTTGGTTTGAGAGTTTTTTTTAAAAAGATGATGCAGCTTTGGATGAATGTACACCACTTGATTTTTTAACCATACCAGGATATTAAGAATAGAACCTGTTGAATGATAACTTGAAATAGAGGTGGAAATTTGGTTTGAGAGTTTTTTTTAAAAAGATGATGCAGCTTTGGATGAATGTAACCATGGTTGAAGTTACCCAGCAGCCACTTCAAGGTCCTCTAATTATTCTCATTTGCTTATGCAATTAATAAAAAATGAGCCGATGCGCATCATCTGACATGCACCATCTTGGCATCCAGACACTTGAGTCACCTTGCACTGCCTGCAAGGTGACTCAAGTGTCTGGATGCCAAGATGGTATGGCTGAAGGAAGATGGCATTGAATGGGGCAAAAACTTTTCTCACATATATACACAAAGATGGAAGTCATGGTTGAATCATACGTGAGACCATAGAGGAATGGAACGACGAGGACCAAGAGGACACTCGCTCGAGGGCTGATTCCCAATGCAGTCAATCCGGCATATGTCAATGCTCCCATGATGCCAGCCCCTCCAGTTCCCGATGACCACGTAGATACAACATTCCTATAATTCCATACACCAAAATGTCATTTTGCAAAAGTGATGGCTTAAATGGTCGTTTTATACGGGACACTGTAGAGTTTACTTTGTCATAATAAATTAATCCGTACTTCTTCATTCCACCTTCAAAAACTTCGTTTTTTCCCGTTGTCACCGTGATTGAACCTCTTTGTAGTCGAATAGGAAAGCAGGGAAACTTCCCCCAATCCTCCACTGAAGGATACAAGCCCAACTCCAGAGTAAGCCTGAGCTCGAGATGTCGAAAGCCCCACCATGAGGAGCCCTGCAGAACATGCCCCCAGAACCAGACACATCCTCAGCCTGTTAACACAAGAAAGGTTTTGAAGAGATCCTCACCACATCTGGCATTCAAAAGTCCATGATAGTCAATACTTCTTCTGCCCAGTGAAACTGCACACAATTACACCATTTGTAAAGTTATGTAGCTTCAATTATTGTTTCTAGTCTCTGTAAAAATGTTTCTAAAGTGCATTCATTTATAAAATAGCAACTCTTCTCCAAAATGTTGTTTAGTTCTCTTGAAAAAAAAGTGACAAAAATGACCTACCTGGTAGTTCCTCCGATGAAGGGGGCGAAGAGTTTAACAGTGAGGCCTGGGAGAACATCAGCCAAGAGGATTGTTGCAGTTGATGCAGTGTTGCAATCTCTTGGATTATTATCTGAAGAGTTGCTCACATTCCATGTGGCCTATATTTTCAGTCCCATATGGGCAAACAGGATAGAAATGCATCATTTTCATGTTGCTTGTTGATGACTATTGACCTAGGTACCAGGATCTGCATATAGATATAGTGCCTGGACTCTATCAGCTGAATGCATTCCTGGGATAGAGACTTGCTCCCTTAGCAGTGGCAGATGGGGGTTAAGAGGAATTAAACTGTCATTGCAGCAAGTTATGTTTCCAGGGCAGCTTTTGAACATTGTGGCATTTTTGTGTACTGTTTGCTTCCAGCATAAACTAAAAGACCATAAATGGGATGGATGAAAAAAAAAATCGCTAAGAACAATGTTACCTATGATTAAAACAATGTTAGTGTCACTGAGTTCTCTGAGAAATTACTGCTTTTAAATTCTTTCACTTTCATCAGACAGGAAAGCTTCAGAGCTGAAATTGGGATCATCAACACACAACTAGATGTGGATCATGCAATTGATCAATTCTGAACCTACTCCACAAATTCAACTCTAATGGAAAACAACTTGGTGTGAGCTAGCTAGGCCATATAAGTGTTTTCTTCTGAGTTACTGTGATTCAAATTAGCAGGACAAGGTAATAAATATTATTCTGTTTTGCTTGTTTCAATCTTAGGAAACTCAGGGTTTTCTGCTTCTGTTTCTAATCCGTCTGTTCTGTCATTTTAGTTCCTGTTTATATTTTCTTATAATCATGTTACCAATTATGTTTCTTTTATTTATGGGCTTTCTGAAAAATGAGATTTACTACTGTGGATTGAGGCTCCTGATAAGAAATCAAAGTTGAATATGATTTAGACCTGCTCCACACAAGCTAAATATAGAATAAAAGAGCATGTCAGTCTGGATGGATTTCACATGTTTGTGACTACTGACACATTTTCACACTTATTCAATGTCCTCACAGGCATACTTCCAAGCCAATTCTTATGCTGACTTCATCTGTCGGTGTTTCTTTTGATGATAAGAGAACTACTCTTGCACTATGTAGTTTCTGGAGTGCTCATTGTCTAACAAGTCTTTAATCAGAGACACTTCTTGGCAGATTCTTGGCAGGTACCTACTTACACTTTAAATACAGTATTCTTTAAGTGAGGCAAATATTATTGCATCTAAATTAATTTAATTTAGGAGAAAAAACAAAAGTCATCTTGCTTTAAGTTCTAAAAATATATTCTTGGCAGGTACCTACTTACACTTTAAATACAGTATTCTTTAAGTGAGGCAAATATTATTGCATCTAAATTAATTTAATTTACCTCTTTTTTGTTTTCAGTAGAACGAAATTCAAGATTTTTATACGAGTTTTACCCCTTATCGTCACGTGTAGGGTTTTACCATATACGAAAGTGATTACCTAGGTCGTCACTTTCCTAGTTCAAGGTGTCTGAAACCTAAGGTTGTCTCATACTTTCATTCGCCATTAGGGGAACACTATCCTCATTTGACCATGACAGGGAGACTACCTCCACAAGGAAGAGAAATCAAGAAAGGCATCCTTTTCTTGACAATAGTAAATCAAAGAAATACAGAGCATCTACAGTGTGGGCCAAAAAAAAACAAAGCTATCATTTTTGGCGAGTCATCAATCTCTTTGTAGGTTGCCAATATTGATTAAAATTGGTAGTCTTATAAGGTGACGCAATTGGAGTTTGTATACCAAATTTCAGCCATCTGTCTTTAAAATGATAGGAGTTGTAATTATTTTCTGATGACCAATGACAAAACATGCTGCTGAAAAGATTGACACATCCTTGAGAGTGGGATGAAAGGGAGGTCCAATTTCTAGACCTTCCATTCCTGCATGATGCTACAAAGGAAGATTGGGAGGCACTGCCTCAAAGGTTTATTCACTGAGCCATTAACCTGCAGCGTCCCAGACTATGGGCTTGCGTTCCACATAATGGAGGGTACATTGAGCACCTTTTCAGTTGGAATGTACATCCCTAAACCAAATTGTGTGCTTTCGTGTTAGGTAGTTGTGCATCTGTTTTTGTCCTGTTTGTTTGCTTGTTTGCTTTTGTCAGTTGTGAGAATTTTTAAGCTGAAAGAAAAAATGAATGCTTACTTTTTTGGTGATGAAAAGTAAATTATATGCCAATCTCATAGTTTTAGGAATTTATATCTGAAACTTGGCATACAAACCCTAATTGAGTCACCCTACAAGCACACCAAATGCCATCAAAATCGGCCACATACAATCAGATTGACAATTTACCAAAAATGAAATCTTTGTTTTTTTTTGGCACACCCTGTATATGCTGGACTAAAGATTTGCCTCTTAAAGGAAATGGCAAACATGAAGCTAGTGAAAATGATGCAACTCATTAATTGAGGAGAAGGGAGCTCAACAATTCCAAATTTGTCCACCTGAGAGTTGAAAAAAATAATTTTCAGCAGGATCAAGATTCTGAGGTGTTAGTTGAGTAACACATGAAGAACCCATTGCAGAAGTGTGAAGTATGTGATGTGTGTCTTCATGAGAAGTTTGTAAGAAGGGAATGAAATTGCCACAATTAGCCTACAAATAACAACTGCCAACTGGAATAAAAAGTGGTCCCTATTCACTGCAGGTGCAAGAGTCAAGAGACAAAGCCTATATATATAGATCCTGTATTTACTTATGATGTGCCCATTTTTCATGCTTAATATACAGCCAATGTGTTAAAGAGATTATGAATGGCCATGTTTCAGTTCATTTCCATCCCTGGGAATCACTATGCTGTTTATTTTAGAGCTCCGGTGGAAGCACATACCATTTGAGATGCTGGCAAGGCCTCTTCTCCATTCCAACTTCTTGCAAGTATGTCATGAGCAGCACTGAGCATCACAACATAGCTGAAGTTATTGCATAGCCCAAGTATCCAGTATCCAAACAAATTCCTCTTGAGTCCCTTCTGGTCTTCATCTGTGAGGTATATGATAGCTTTTTCCACATGTATTCTAATATCCTTACTCCTTTCTGAAGAGACACTTTATTATGTCCTCACACTCAAAGAAGTAATGAAATACTTGAATCGTACACCATTAAATATACTGCCCTGATTCCAGACCTCATTATCAAGTCATTTAGCTAAAATCAGCTGTATCTTCATCTATCCAAAAAGATTTAGGATAGATGAGGATTTAAGATACTCAAGCAATAAATAATAAAGCACTTTCAGTCACAGATTTATTCTTGGTCACTCCTTTAGATTGTTTAAATGACAGCAATCCTCAAATTACTCAGAATTAAAGCTCTATCATTTTCATTGAGGATAAAGAAGCCAAATAAAAGCCAAGGCAGCTAGAGCACCTGAATGTAATATTTCCTTTGGCTACCATGTTTACATGCTAGCAATAAAAATACATAATAAAGTTTACATACACGAAGAACACTCACCGATGACAGGGGGAATGGGTTCTTGATGGCTATTACGAGTCAACAACGGTGAATTATCTGGTAAGATATCTTCCACTGCACTGTCTTCAGCACCTGACATGGTCTTGCGGGGATAGCAATTCATATCATATGAAGTCATTCTGTCTTTTCCAATTCATGTGTGACCATCAGGGAAGTAAATGCTGGAAGTCCACACATCTTCACCTTCTTGTATAGAAAGGAATTGTGAAGAGAATTTTCACTGACAGATGCCAGCCATCATACATGATTCTTTACTTTGCTGAGTAATTTCCCATTTGGGAACACTTAGCCCTTCAAGTACTGAGTTTTGACTCTACCTCCTAAGTGATGCTGTATGGTGTACGTGAAAACGGCTTGAAGGGTTAATCATGAAGTTTTCTCTCATACTCTTGAATTTACAGCCATTACTTTGATGCTAAAACACTCCCTCATTGCTGGATCTTACTACCGTGAACTGCAAATGCCAACAATGGATATTCCTTGCACTAGTAGCACTTCCCAGTAATAAAAAAAATTCCAGCTGGATCCTGTTTGTGCTCTGCTGGAATAAGGTGGAACTAGGTGGATTTGACTGGCTTTCCTAGCCAGCTGAGAATTTCAATTTTGATGAACTGGGTGCAGTAAGTTCCTTGAACCCCTCAAAGATAATGAGAAGGGGCTCTTATTTTTTTTTAAATCTAAAGAAGTTTCCAGTAATTTTAACCATATTTCATGTATAAAGGTTTACCTTTTCTTAGAGTATTGAAGGGCTGTAGCTTTGTAATACAGTTTATTCTATTTGAAGAAATAAATAAGTTCATTTATTTACTTTTTGAAAAATTCTGATGTAAAACTATATTCTTTCCAAGCTGGAAGAGGTAGCTTTCTGACCAAAATTCTCTCATTTTTAATCTCAGAACCAACCCAGAAAACGATCCAAATTTACAGATGTAACCAAATTTTGTTTCCAATTCAAAATTTCTTTTGAGTTGAGCTACACTGAGAGAGTTCCATGTAAAAAGGAGCAGGACATTTTCATTTTATATGGCTGTGGTTTGCTTCATGGTAGTAAGAGCACCAGTGAAAAACTGTGTGAGTGGGTACACCCATACAGAAAATAGATTTGTGCTATCAACTGTGATAGAAACATGTGTGGTCCCTTCTTATGGATTTATGATACTTTCAGATCCTTTTTGATTCAGTTTGTACTAGTACACATTGAAAAACTACTTTGGAACAGGAGCAGAAAAACCCATACTTCTTGACCTAATGCTACTCAAGTCCCTATTGAGTTTTCAATCTATAAGCTGACAGAGAAAAATTTGGAAGCCTATAAGAGGACTTAGAGCTAGAGTGATCAAGAGAGAAGAGTGAACTCATATTAATGGTGCAATGGAATCCACTTTTAGCAGTACATGAAGAGCACCAACAATATCTGATCAACTGAAAGATTAGTTCTCTGACAACAAAGCTCGAGTAACAATTGAAGAACAAATCAATTATCACTCCAAAGTTAGCCATGTAGTTGGCTTGTCCTGCATTTTGCAGGCTGGAGACCATATACATCTTAAACTCACACACTTATGGCTTATTTTTCAGCTGTTTTCCAGTCATCCCTGCCTCTGATGTCTTGAAAATTTGAGTTTTTCAGGCTTTTAGAAAGGGGTGTATATGTGCACATAAAAAGAAGACTTCAGCTCCAGGCTCTCAATAAAAGCCTAGCTGTGGAACCATCCAGCATATATAACAGGTGAGTTAAGATGATATACCAATGCCACAGTGAGAATCCAAAGGCATGGAAGGACTAACAGAACCTCAGAATCGTACTTGACAAAGACATACTTGAGCTACATGCTGCAGTTCAGTTAGTGGCACTTTCATATTTAAATGTTCATGCTTCCAGCTAAAGGTGATTATGAAATTTTATAGTTCAAGTCTCAAGGAGTTTTCATACATATTGCTGACACTCAAATTATTTGATGAAGTCATAGCAAAGGCAAGCAGGGGCATATACATATACTGAATCTAAAGATGAATTGTACTTTTATTTTGGGAACTTCACAGGCAATCACAATTCATCATGAAAGGAGGAGAGATGATCACAGAGTTTAGAAGCCAAGTGGGCTATCTGCTGATAGTATGAATCCATATCATCACTTTCATCTTCTTTCTTGTGTGAGAGTTCCTCTCGCACTGCCAGATCAGAGTAAGTTTGCTTTAGCAGTTGTAAGATGTTGAGACTCTCACGAAATTCCATTTTGCAGACAGACACAAAGGCTTCCATGGCATGAAGGACTTTCTCTATTGTGTCGTGCTCTGGTCGAAGGGGGAGGGAGTTGCTCACTGCAGATCCCAAGTCCATTCTCCGGTCCCAGGCAGTCCTCTCAGGTAAAATGAGAAGTTGAGGGATCAGCTGACAGAAGCCCTGCTCTTTAGCTTTTTCAGCAAATTCAATTGCACTGTATTGCTTCAGCTTCTCCTGTTGTGTTGGTACAGTCACATTAGCATTCAATCCAGCAAGGTGATGCTCTAATGTCAAGTCCTGAAGAAGCAGAACTATTTTCAGCTGCAACATGTGAACATTAAGTTGGGTATCATTGAAAACACTCCTGAAAACCATAAAACCTCCTTCCTCAATGAGGCGCTTCTGTGCATATGGAAAATGTCTCACTAATGATGACAAGGCATATAGGGCTCGCTTGCGCACTTCAAACACATCATCAGTCTGGATGAGTCTGAGCAGTTGCTTCATGAATCCTGCCTCCAAGCCAGCGATTTGGACAGGGGGGTTACTCTGCATTGCTGAACCAGCCAGAAACAGTGCAGATGATCGCAATGAAGGTGAAGAAGAATTCATGGCAGGCAAGACCAAAGTTTTCAATCGACCAGACTTTGCAAAATCTGCTGCATTATCCACTTGATGCATCAGGAACTCCAAGTCCTCCAAAAGGGTGGATTTTTCCTCTGTATCCTCAGTAAGTTCATAATTTTTTATAAGTTTTTCTATAATTTCAGAGTCTGTCTCTAATTGCATATGCAAATCAGCAAAATCCTTCTTCAGCTCACTGTAGGATCGAAAATTTCCCATGTCTGTTTCTTGCAAATTATCGTTTTCTCCAGTGTGCAGATCCTTTAGAGCTTCCAGAAGTTCTTCTTTTGAGAATTTCCTCTCCTTAGTTTCCTTTTCTGTCAAATCTTCTTTACCTTCCTCATCCATCAATTTGGCTTCAATTCCACCAGAGCCTAAATCCATTCGAATGTGCAGTCCAGGAGGAACTGCTTCATCTGCTTCTACTCGCTTCCAATCTTTAGTCGGCTGAAAAACTTTACTTTTGGTCCTGGTATCAGCACCAGCAAGTATAGACACAGTTGGTTCTTCAGATACGTATGAGTCTTGTTCCTCGTCTTCATCTTCTTTCAATATTAGATCATGGCGATTGGCAGCACATTCATGAAAAGAGAGGAATTCTACGATGATCACAAGTAAGCCTAAGGTCAGGCTCAAGCGTGTCGTCCAGTGAAATTTCACCATAGCAGTTCTTTGCAAGTAGGCTAGCTTAGGCATTCGATTCGGTTTGCTAAGCAGTTAGACAACTTCAAATCACACTCTTTGGCTTGCACAGGTGGTGAACTTAGTGTAAGTGAAAACTGGAAAGCCTCCACAGTTCCGTTATTCTTATATCCATGGAATCGGAGCTGGCTCGCCAGATGATTGACACGTGTATCTTGTGGAACTCCATGACGATATCCATGACATTATCGGCATCGTCTGCAAGCCACCCTATGATTGGTCAAAGACATCTTACATATGACAATATGGCGTTTCACATGGTGGTCTGATAGATTGCGCTGGATGGATTGCTGGGATTCGTTCCTGAAACGGCGAACCGGACGCCATCCTTAAGGGAATTTTAATGGATATTATTTGCTTCTAATGACTCGGGAAGTGGAACAATTTGTTGAAAACGTTCGATGGGGAGAGGTGAAGGGTTCGGACAAGCAAGCCGAGACATTAGTCATGCATAGCTATCATAGGTCTAATGTTGACAATAATTTATCGTGAACTTTATTTTCTAGGTCGTGTCTGGTCAGCTGGAATCAATGCTTACTTTTTGAATGTCGAGCCCTCAACGTTTTCACATTGAATGAAATAGCATTTCTTTATTGAGGTATTATTGCTGTAACAGTCGGCCTAGAGTTGCATCTCGTAGACATTTAATTTGGGCTACATGCAATATGCATTTGCTAGGAATTTGAAAACAGTGCAATTATTTGGGCCTACCTCCATATTCATTTTGTGGAGTGCTGTGCCAATTGCTTAAAGTGCTTGTATGGGTTTATCGTGGAAGGATTTTCTCTCTGTCTTCTCAATGAAACATAAATTTTGCTTATCAGCAGTGGCATTAGTCATGGACCTCATCGGAAAAAAAATTGATTGCTGCCTAGTTTAGTAGATATTAACAAGTTACAAACTGAAAAATATAATAGGCCAGTGTCAAAATTGTTTACTATTTCAAGAACTTAATGGTTTCACTGAGATTATCTTTATTTCAACGTGATATGTAACATTTCAGTGTTTTTACCCTGACAACACTGATTAGACCTTATCTTAAGCCTAAATACATAATGAAAAACTCCTAAATCTGGTTTCAGATGAGTGCATTAGATCTGGGAGAAATTGATTTCTCCTATGATGATTCTGACACTTATCCAAATGAGATTGCTGAGCTGTACAGCTATACTGAAGGGCCTGAATTTCAGCAAAATTTGAAGGTGAGTGTATGAGAAAGAAAATCTTCATTGATTTTGGTCTCCCTACTTTCTACTACTTCCTTGTGATTGCTATAAACATGATTGATGTCTGTACTGAAATTGCTACTGTGGTCATTTTGAACACTTCACCAGGCCTTCCATGAGTTGATGGGTGAATATGGGACTCAAAGACAGTGGCACAGTCTGGATGAAAAGAAGCAGAAGGGAGTGGTGCTTCGGCTTCTTGACCAGATTGAGTTGACAAGGAAGGAGGCTCGCCTCAAGGGCATTCGAGCCATCCTCTACATCACTCAGGTTGGTTTAGGCTTCATGGGAAAATGAGTTTTGTTCAAAGTTTTTCTTTGTATACATTGGCAGATGCCTTTGAGGAAGGAGAAATCCTATTTGAAATGCAAATATGCACTCGTGAAAGAATCAAGTGCCCTGAGGTTGATTTCATGTGCAGACACCTTTTATCATCTTCAATGGGAAGGGTCTGTAAAAAGTTGGTTGCATTGACAGCTACCAGTAACTTTTTCCATGTGAGCTCTTCAGGTCATACTTCCTTAGGCAGACATGTATCTCACTTGACTTGGCTTGAAAATGGAAATCTATTAAATGCATATATAGGAAGTGAATGAAGACTTAAGACTGGTCTGGGCTTGTGCAGTTCACTTGAGTTTAGCACTTGACTCAGTCTGAATGTCTGATGTTTTCTCTTGCACATGGCATTCTTTCTTCTGCTAGAGTATCATGATCTCTTAACATGTTTTACCTCACCTATATCCATTCTGTTGTCAAGATGAGAGGAAACTCAACTTAAAGGAAAGCCTCTTAATTCTGAGCAGGATGGTGATGCTTATAACTTCATGACATTTACAGAGTATTGTTTCAGTTTGGTTTAAGCAGCCATATGCATCATTTTCAGGGTGCATGGGGGGAAGTCCAGAGTGATGAGGAGCAGATGTCTTCCACACGCAAGAATGTCCTCATCATGTACCATCTGGGAGTCTTTGATGCCTGTGTTGAACAGCTCAAGTTGGAAATAGAGTAAGGTGGAACTTTCCATTGTCTTTCTATGGGTTTCAGTTATTGTTGAATTGTCTCCAGTTGATGTCACCTTTCTTCCAATTTTGATTACATGTTTCATGGAAATTTTCCTTATTTTCTCAGAGATAGGAATTGGTATAATTAATCATTGTTACTGTATGCATTAGAGCATTAAATTCCTTTGAAAAACATCAAGCTTTGGGCAGCAGTCTCTGATTCCAACCTGACTCATGGAAGTATGAAGACTGTCCTTGTTGATGGAGGCATTTTTGAACTTGGAATCAAAAAGCAAGCCATCGAAGCAGAATAATGTTATAGCTATGGGCCTATACTTGCCTAATCTAAATGCTCCATGCTGTAGGAAGAGATTTAAAAAATTCTCTGCCAAATTTTGAACTTTAACTTCCATGGAATGTGATGAAGGAAGCAGTCCTATGTCATTTCCAAGTATGAAAATCATCTGGTATTTTAACTTTCTGTTCACTGCAGGAACAGCAATGCAGCTGCTGCAGGTGTGAGAAAGCCAGCTGTGAGTTTGGCTGATTCTCTTGAGACACGACTTGTGTTGAGCATCTTGTACACATTTGTGGAAACCATGCGTCGCTCCCGGCCTGATGATACAGATGATGTCAAGAAAGCTCGTGAAGAATTCCGGGCCGATGTTGGTGAGTGAAACAGTGTCTTTCAATCATGCATTCCTTTACTATTGTATCACACCCATATTACTTTGAAAGAAAAATAGTATGAGAATGTGTTGACGGAATCCAGGTTTTCAGGAACCAGCGGGAGGGGTATAGTTGATGGTACATATACAGGAGCTAATAGTGAGGATTAAATATTATTATTCTCTGCTAAATGATATTCTTAAACTGATGGTGTATTCATATTAAAGGTTTTATTTTGAATCTTTTAATTCTTGCTCCCAGGAGGTGTTGATCTGCTGTGATATATAGTCAGAAGCCAGCTTGTTTCATAAAGCTGATCTTAGCAGTATCTCATATCATTCTTCTTAAGTTTCTTTTTTTGTTTGGAAATGTGAATTCCTCTAATATGCACTCTTCATTTGGTCTTGTGTTTTTTTAAAAATACTTTGCAAATTCATTACCTTTTATAAATGTTATCAGAAAAAAACAAACTTATCCTCATCATGACTATGTGCCAAAAATAGTGACAAGGAGGCACCTCATTGTACTCAGCAAAATTGTGACTGATGTTTCTCTTAATTTATAATCAGTTGTGCATAAAGTTTCCTCTGCATGAAGCATTGAGTCCTTTCATGCTGATCCCTAAATAGATAATCTTTTCTTGCCAATAGGAGGCTCAGGTGGAGAGGAACCATTTGCTGTCATTCTTCTCTCAGTAGTTACCAAGTTCTGCAGTGGATCTGCTCCTCACTTTCCCATGCGAAAAGTTCTTCTTCTCCTGTGGAAAGTCATCCTCTTTTCTCTTGGTGGCATGAAAGATCTCGCACGAATCAAAAGTCTGTTTTTTTGGTCTCCTATTGTCTTCATTCCCTAATGGAAAGGAGCTTAGCATGACACTCAATCCATAACCTTCCATTGTGGCAGATGAAGCCCGAGAAGCAGCCGGACTCCAGCCCATCACAGAGGACACGCTCGATGTGACGAGGAACATGAGGCCGGCATCCCCTCCTGCATCATCAACAGACATTGGAGAGACACCAGGACTGATTGGCGCCCAGAGGCCATCGAGGCGGGTAGGCCTCCTGCAAATGGTGAGGCGCCGGTCACCGATGGGGACAGGGAAGAGCCCCATCGGTTCCCGGTCTGCATGCATCACCCTGCAATTCACTCACTACTCCTCTCACAGAAGAGTGGAATCTCTGACTTCCTGACCTCTAACTTGCTCGTTTCACCTCTCTGCATCATCTCTCTGATGGAGTTCTCTGTGGCTCAAAGCTGTCTGGTTGTTTGCAAGTCTTGATGTGGCATGCAAGGATTCCATTTCAGTCTCATTCTTATGACTGATGGTAAACTAACTGCAAAGAATATTAGCAGTTCACTATTAGCACCTAATGCAAGTTTGAATCTTTGCTATTCAGCATCTTGTATCTGTCTAATACAGAGTTAGTTTTCTAACATTGGCACCTCGTTGAGGCACTGGTCCTAATTCACTCTTTATTAGCGGTATCAGCTGAGACTGGCCCAATTTCTGTGAGCTGTAGCAGCTGGGACAAGCTGAAATCACCTTTACTGGCATTTCACTGGCATTGGCATATTCTGATGCGTAGGAGATGCCAATGATGCCTCCAGGAGGTTGGATGTTCACATTTTAGTTTGCCAGTGAAAGAGTTAATATATTAGATAGTGATGATATCATGCCCATAATTCCAAGGTGTATGTAGAAGTTATGGTCTGGATGATAGGATGGAGTCATGAATTTTGAGGAGCTTATGTAGAATATTCCTGTCACAACAATACTTATAGTCTTGAATGCAAGTAAGGAAGTAATTTTCACTGAATTGATTCTGGTCTGACTTCTCAGTTGCATTAATAGTGTTTTTGAAAAAATGAAAATTTTAGAATTTTTGACTGAGTTCATGTGAGTTTTCAGGTTTATCTCAGAAGCATAGTTATTTCAAGTTGTGGTTCAATTTGATTAAATATAGGCATTATTGCATTTGCACTCCATTGTGGCTTCTGTATCTGCAGGGTCTAATGAAGCAGAGCAGTTTGGATGAGACCACTGTGAATGGAAACCTGGATGGAGATTCAGAAATTTCTCCTGGTTATGAAGAAGACATACAGGAGATAGAGGAAAGGAGAGCAATGGAAGAGAGAGGAGAACTCCCACAACCCCCTTCTCCAAGACCTTCAACCCCTACCCCCCCACGAGGGAAAGGTAAGCATTTCCCCTCCTTTTTTTACTTGATGGATGCCAAAGCTTCCATCCAAAGTAAGTTGATTGAGGGTCTGCTTGGCAGCACTTCCTTGGATACCAAAGGTGAGACCAAAGGACATCAATATTTTCCTGGAAACAGCACGGATGAAGTTCTTTGGGTATCGTCTGAAAGATGACCGAGTGTCACTCATCGGTCTCCCTCTGCCTCTTCATGAGGGAGTCAGTGTTCTAAAACAGGTAAGCTTCCATGTGTGTTTATTTGGCTCTTGCTTCATATTTGTCCCTTATACAAAACTCCAAATATGTCTTCACCAGCATGTGTATGTAAGCCTGGCTGAGAAGCAGATGGAAAGGGAAGAATGCATCAATGACAATCCTGTTTCGTGTGCAGAGGAGGACATCCCTCAGATCCCAAGTGAAATCCTCTATCAGGTATGGCATGTAACCAGTGTATTGTTACTTTTGGGGTGCATAATTGTGGCATTTGATGTAGTATCTACATGGTCCAATTCTTTTGCCCTTTCTTAGGCCATGTTGCCTTCCTTACCACAGTCAATGATAGCATTGCTGAAGATCCTCCTGGCTGCTTCCCCAACATCAAAGACGAAGACTGAATCCATCAACATCATGGCAGATGTTTTACCTGAAGAAATGCCGTAAATTATCTTGCATTCACTCCTATGCTTAGTATTTTTGGACATTCTATTAGGGAACTATAGTTATGTCTCATTAATCCAGACTTCAGTGGACCAGGCAATTTTGTCCAGGTTGTTGAAAACTTGACCAAGTGACTTCTTACTTTTACTTTCTTTTCCTGGAGGAAAGTCACTCAGTATACAGTTATATGTCTTTATTTTGTTCAATTTTTTCTTGCACACATTTTCTATTCAGCTCCTCATGCTGAAATCTTAAAGAGAGTTTTTACTTCTGGTTTGCACCAAATATATGCTTGGAGTGCATTCTGGAATGACAGGTGGGTACTGTAATTTGTCCTTCACATTTCTTGTACTAAGGTGGTATAGGGGTTCTAAGATTCCATGATTTCCTCTCCTGCTGGCTAGGTCATGAGCTTGTTGGAGACAAAGTCAGGTCACTGAAGATGGATGTAATTGAGGATAAATATAGACAGCTCCAGAATGGGAGGCAGTTATCTATAAAATTAACATGTATGAGCTTCATACATGGATTGTGTAATATGTTTTTTTCCTGCCACCTCATTTCTGGGAAAGGGGGAAGGTTGGAGAGGGTTTTTGTTTCCTCAGGGTGAGAGGGAACCTGGAGGCAAGAGACATGGCAGTCATTTTTTTTTTTTTTTTTTTGCAGGAGTAAAAAAAAAACCTTTCTCTCCCAGTGGCTTTTGCACTTCTACTATCCTTAGAAGCCCAGACTAACAGGGTGAGAATGGTCCAAGGAACCAGAGACTATATTTCTATTTGCGGAAGATTAAACAGATTAAGCAAATAATATTTATGAGGCCTGTGTGAGGTTAGTGGTTGCATTTTTCAAATTATATTTTAAGAGTGCACTGGATTCAGGGAAACTAAAATATACTGTACTGCTCCATGAAGCTGATGAGAGCAAACAAAATATAAGAATGGTTTGAAGTCAAGTGAAATGAACACAACATGAAACTCAATGAATGCCTCAACTTTTGCATCCCTTTTCCTCAGGATGACCGTTGTGCAAAGTATGACACTGGGCATTGATGTGAATCGACACAAGGAAGTGATTGTGAAGGCTGTTTCAAGCATCCTCCTCCTCCTCCTCAAGCATTTCAAAGTGAATCATGTCTATCAGTTTGAATTCATGTCCCAACACCTGGTGTTTGCCAATTGCATCCCACTCATCTTGAAGTTCTTCAATCAGAACATTCTTTCATACGTCAGTGCCAAGAACAAGTCAGTGAAAGTTTCCTCTCCTTTAGTCTTTTTTTTTTCAAGTGAAGGACTGCATCATTTACATTTGGTTGTACCCTTTGTTAACAGCATTGCAATTTTGGACTTCCCATCTTGCGTCTTGGGATTGGGCACGGGAGCGGGAGATTTGACTGAGGAGAGTTTGAACATAGGAGAAACGGGAAGCATTTGCTGGCGAAACATGTTCTCATGTGTCAATCTCCTCAGGGTTCTCAACAAACTCACAAAGTGGAAACATTCCCGCATCATGGTAGTTATATCCTTCTGCTTGTTCTCTCCCATTTCACTCTCAGTTGTAATTATGTTGTACTGTTCTTTTTTTCTTGAGTCTGAGTTTATTCTTAAGTAAGTCAGAAAAGTGTAAAACACTATAAATTGAGATCATCATGCTATTCCTTCAAATACTGTAGCATCCCAAAAAAGAATCAAGTGTTTGGGTATACATGCTCAGGTGGGAATATTGCTTGGAATCTTGAATCCTTTACTAGGCAGAGGTTCCTTTCTCTTTTTTTTTTGAGGAAGAGGAATGAGTACAGGGAATGAGCAAGGTAGGGGCCATGGAAGGGTTGATACTAGGGGCTTGGGGTCTTTGTGCTTTATGAAAGCACTTTCCCTTTCTGGCATCCTGCGGTTGCTTCCTTTTTTAGGATGTTAATTACATATGCACAAGTAGTGCTTTTTAAAATATTTGATACATTTTTTATAATCTGACACCAATACTTGATCATTTCTGACCCTCATAAAATCTTTGTATGTCATTGAACACAAGAGACATTCTGATTGCATGCACTTCAAGAATATAATCTCTGTATGTGAAAATGTTGACACATGAGTGCATAATCGATGGATTTACTTGTAGTGATGAATACATGAATTTAAATGCTTTATTGAATATGGAGGAAAGCTTAATCACAAAATTTGAATTGAAAAGGTTGATTAAAGCAACCATCTTCCACGTCACTGGTGAGGTATGAGAGTAAAATGGCAATGTACAATGATTATCACAGCCATATATTTAGAGTATTGCTTTCTGTTTATTTTTCACGAGTTTGTATCAACTCTGTTTGCAGATGAGTTTGCACATATTTGTTCATACATAATGTAAACAGTTTCTTAAAATGCATCAGTAACTATTTCTACAAGCTGTGTGTTTTATCTAGCCATATCCATATCCTGCTGATGGAACTCTTCCTCAATATAGTATTGATGGCATTTGAAATTATGCACTCCTGCTGTAGTCTTACCTCAGTAAATGCCAGGTCAGACCATAAAAAGGAAAGGATTTGTGCCTGCTGACATTTAAGATCGTGAAGGAAGGGTGTAGGGGCTGCATATGGGCTCCTTTTGCATAAGTGAATGCAGCTCAATAAAGTATGTCCTTGTAAGATTTCCATTTTATTCTTTATGCAATCTCTCTGGTCCCTTCAAGAATTATGTCTATCTGCTAGAGTTTACCTCAGAGTTTACATTTATGAAAGTTTCCCTTCTGATGATATTTCTTGCAATAGAAGCATGCCAGTTAAGTTCTCTTTCTATGAGACAGGTTTCCAATCCCTCTCTTTTATTCTTTTATCTAGATGCTTGTGGTATTCAAGTCAGCACCCATACTGAAGAGAGCTTTAAAGGTTCGACATGCATTACTGCAGCTCTATGCCCTCAAGCTTCTGAAGATGCAGACCAAATATCTTGGAAGACAATGGAGAAAATCCAACATGAAGACATTGAGTGCCATCTATCAGAAAGTTCGACATAGACTCAATGACGATTGGGCATATGGGAATGGTGGGTTTTGACATCCATTAATTGGAAAACCTTTTTGATAGATTCACACAATGATTGCTGATTGATCATACCACAGATTTGGATGCTCGCCCTTGGGACTTCCAAGCTGAAGAATGTTCCCTGCGTGCCAATGTTGATCGTTTCAACAGTCGCAGATATGGCAACAGAGTGAGTTGCCTTCTGAATTTCATGCAAGCCTGCTAATTTATTCTAGGCCTATCACAGACAGACCACTGCTTTTCCTGTGTTTTGTTTCATGCATCTTGATTCAGATACTGGTATTCGTCATGTGCTGCTCCTAAAAAATATACTTTCTGGGTCAAATACCCAGACATGGAGAAGACAAATACACATATTAAAGTGCAGTAACATCCTCAGACCACATGGCCATAGGAAAGGACATAATGAGATATTTAAACAAGGACCACTCTGGAGGCTGCAAGAAGGGTAAAAGACATTGCCACCATCTAGTAAGTGGCATTAAATGTGAGCAGCACTTTATGAGTGAACAGGTGACTTGCAGCAGACCATTTCTGTTCAGGAGATCCACCAATTTTGGGGAAATTATGTAAAACCCTACTTTTTTACTTTTTGTTCATTTCATTTTTGTGGTGTTTAAAATGAAAAAATAAACACAATGCAGGATCCCATGAAAAGCTAACTCCAGAGGTAAATAAAGAATTGTAGTAAACATAAACAAAAGCCATGGAAGAGGGTGGTTCAAGTGAAACCTGGAATTTCTTGTGCTTTCATGCAACAGGATAAGAAAAATTAATCAAATTTAGCCTATTTTTCTTTTTTGGGCTTAAAAGTGATTTTCTCATATAGAATGTTGGTGCAGTGTTAGGTGAATTTTGCATCTGAACATCTGCAACAAGATTCATGATGAAAGATACTATTAATTGGGACAACATTTGATGCTTTATCTTAATTTTTCAGCGATGATCTTGAATGAAGAAATGAATCCAAATGTGATGAAAGGGACCATTCTCTCACTAATAGGGAGGGACTGAAGGAGGAGAGTTTGAACCAATGGACAATTGGGTTATCAGTGCCCTTGGGAAACACATTGAGCTCACTGATGAATTCAAGCAGCATTATGAGATCTGGTTACAACAGGAAGTCTTCACCAATTCCATCGACTGGGATCAGCTTGTCGACCAAAGACTGTTATGGTGAAGAAGGGCATTTTCTCTTGCATTAATATGCATATCTCGGTGGTTCTTTTTTTCCCCCCCTATTTTATGATAAGAATAAAGTGGACATTGCATGTGAGTTCATTGAAATTTTTAATTTGAATGCAAGCCTGTAATTGAACCATGGTGAAACGATTTGCATGCAAACACTCAAACCGGATTCAAAACATATCACGAAGAAGAATTCTGGAAATTAATAGAATAATTTCCTGTTTGTGGATCTTTTGCCACATTAAAGTTCTCTGTTGAAAGACCAAATGGCTTCAGGACCATATTTCCAAGGTCTTTGAGTTTATCCAACATTTCAGCTTTGAGTTTTTCATTCTTTTCTTGAACGAGAGGTGGGAGTCGAATGAGTGCCTCCCTCCCGGTCCGGTTTGATGGATCCAATTCACACAATTGCTGATAATCTTTAAGAGCTTCATCCAGTCTATCAGACTCTTCGAAGATGGCAGCACGTCGAAGAAGAGCCTTGGTGTACGTTGGATCGTACTTGAGCGCCTGCGAGAGATCGTCAATGGCCGCATCTGGGAACTTGAGGTACGTCTTCATCACGGCACGGTTGTGATACAACACGGCTCTGTCTTTAGGACAACACGTGGGACACTTCTTCAATGCCTCGGTGTAGAAGAGTCGAGCTTCCTCGTACTTCAATTCTTTGAAAGTGGCATTCCCTTCCTCTTTGAGTCTCAATGCAGCCTGGTGATGCTCTTCTTTCTCCTCATCCGTCCATCCCTCCTCGGCCTTTTTCAAACCATCCTCATCTACATAATCAGCTGCAAGTTCATCCTCTTTTCCAGCTTCTTCTGCCTTTGATACACTTTCGGCTCCTGGGCTCTGACTTCTCCCTGCCATGATATCACTCAGCCTAAACAGATCAACAGCATAATACTCATCAGCATTTGTAGACCTATCATATTTCAAAGTTCAGCCTCATCATTTCATTATACTGATTTCAGTGGTTCTTACTTTTAAGTTTCTGACCTCATTTGTTCATCATCCAACAAATACGACAATATGATAGGTGGAGGCTTTAAATAGGTGCAAAGTCACTAATATGACTGGAACAAATATCATTAGGCTTAAAAAACATAGCTGCCTTCTAACACAGGCACTGTCTAACGATGAAAGTTCAGCATTTGTGTCAATTCTCCACAGAAGCACAAACAACTGTAAAGAAGCTGTCACTTTCCCTAGGCCTATTACAGCTTAAAAAAAAAAAACTGATTCGTGGGAATCCACTATATCCATAGTCCCACTATATCCATATATCCCAGAATCCTGAGCCTTTCTCAATTTGGCAGCCCCTTCCCTCCTTTTTGTGGAAGGGATGAGAAAGGAGCCTGTCTACATTTTTATGCCCATGCATCAAGGGTGTCTAAGAACCTGAACTGAGCATTAGCTCTGTCTTTGAGAAAGGCAATTTACACAGAAAGGTAAGAGATCCTTGGTTCTCTCATGTGAAATCTCATACTATACTAAGAGAATTTGACATATTCATTGAGTCCAGAGCCATGAGATAAAAAATTATGATGCTTGTCAATTCAGAATAAATCCAAGAATTGACCTAAGCAACTTATTAATCTAAGTTACGTCAAAGCAACATCATTTGGCTCAAGTCACGTTCCTTGGACGACCATGATTCAATGACGCCATCAAATATGGCTTCTCCTTCATCGGTTTTTGAATGGAAGCAACTCCTACTTTTCTTGGTGCCATTACTTCGCATGCATTTCTGCAGCCTGTTCTTATATGCATTTAGTCAGCACCAAATGCAATTTGCACATGACACAAATGTACATGACTTTGGAAAACTGCAAGATTGTGACCTAGGCTCCATCGAGTTTTCGCGTATCACGCTGCAAGTCAAGCCTTTGCAGCAGATTGTTTCTCCGTCGAAATAGGAGGAGTTACCTTATCTGGAATGTCTTCATGCATTTGCGATTCCATTTTCGCGTTTCTAATCTACGAGGTTTATAAGGAAACAAAAGTTTGTGAGTCAACTACGAATCGTCGGAAGTCAGTGCAAATTCCTTGTATCAAAGACAATCCCGATGACACCACTGCACTCAAACTCTCAAAAATTCCAATAGTCACAGTCGAATGAGAAAGAAAAACCAACCGAGCCTACGATAAGCCTATCCCGACAGCGACGAGCGCGCGGCCATGTTGCGGACTCTCCCGCCATCTAGCGGCCACTACGCCAACTGAAGAAACGCGATTCGCTCAGGCCATTCCGATCGCAGTCCTCGCGGGGAGCGGGCGACTCGCTCTCGTTCGGCGTTGCGTCGTGGTTCCAGACGAGCGAGACGCAGAAGTAACTTGCTCCTGACGGCTTTCTCTGCTTCCTCGTCTGAGCCGGTCCATTTCATTCGTTGCTTCATCCTTTTTAAAGGCCTTGAGAAAGCCCAAGGACGGTGAGAGGACTCTTTGGCTCGAAGAAGGAAGTGGAACAGGACGCAAATCTCGACTTCAACATCGGAAAATGCAAATTCAGCGGATTCGGGAACGTTGGAATTTCCGCAACAGTGGGTCCATCGCTGCACAACGAATGCGATTCTCGTTCCGGCCGTCTCAGAATCCAATGAATCCACTCCCAGAGGCGAACTTCTAGCCGGAGAGCGATTCACTCGCGCCCATGAGCCTCACCGACCACCAACCGAGTAAATGGAGGCTCATGCCCAGACCCGACATCGAGGAACCTTCGTTTCCTCTTGGAAACGAACCGTCGAGTTGAGTTTCGTGCCGAGTTCGCGCAGGTAGACGTCGCTGCACCTCGTTACACCTTATTATTTTTTTTTTATCTTTACTATCATAAGGTTCGCCACGTCTACGAAGCCCGTTCGCCTATCATGCGACTGTGTCCTGATTTGCACAGTGACCGGGATGGGAGCTAATGCTGCAAGTAATCCTGTGGCAGCTAAGGTGCTTTAACCTTTCTAGTTTCATGTTTCTAGAGCCTGCGACACAAAACCGCAAGAATTTTGAGGTCCTTTTTCGTTGTGGGTTACCTTTGGTTAATCATGTCGTTATTTCGCGTAAATTGCACGTGCACGGCGTCTCATTGGGAAGTAGGGGCAGCTCGAGATGGTGGGAATCGGCCCCTTCACACCGGAGAACATCGACTTTGTTTTGGTTCTGCACATGCAGAACCAAAACACACGATCGTACACCTTTTATACGTGTGGTTGCAGATCAAGCAGATCGACGCAGATTTTCGACCCTCCAAGCATAAATGCACAATGCCTACACATTGCACGCCCCCCCCCCCCCTACCTCCTGCAGGCGAAGGGGGGGGGGGGACAATCGATCGGGCAGTGAGTTACCGGGGCAACGGACCACGCCCGCCCTCGTGTCTCCATTCCCATCCGAGTGGAGATCAGAGTCTGTTGCCCGCAGATTCGCACGTGGGATCTGCAGGAAAGGATGGCGTGTGCGGACAGTCTGTGGGAGGACAAGTCCATTCGCTTCGACATGAGTCATTCGTGAGTTTCCTCGCTTTCAATTTCGAGAGGGGAAAGAGGCCTCACACGCTTGGGGTGCAGGGACATGAGGATGCGGACGGGGGAGAAGATGCTGGAGAACATCGAGGACGTGGAGGACACGAAGGGGAACAGCGGGGACAAGGGGAGGATGATCATCACGAACCTCCGAATCATCTGGCATTCCCTGGCTGCCCCGAGAATCAATGTCTGTGCGTCGCCTTTCCCATTATCGTCCTCAGCGTGAGACGAGATCGGTCGATATTTTTTCAAAGGAGAAAAAATCCCCAATCAGTACGGGCTTATCCGTACCGAATGGGGCTCCAGTTCGTATAGTAAAAACGAAGATATTTTACTTTTAGCCGAAATTAATATACTAACATTTAGCTTTTGGAGCACTGGGAAGGTATAAATACCGTGCTTTCATTTCAAAGTACGCCGTAATTTGGGCTCTCCGTGCAGCCGAGACTACTTTCGCTTTCCTTCTCCGTTCTCTCACAGCTGTCGGCTTCCAGTGCGTCATGACCGTGAAAACCCGAACCGTAAACTCGGTGAGTCTCGACCTTTAAACCCCCTTCATCCGACAACCGCCCATGAACTCGATCGCGACTGTGACGTGCAGAAGCTGCGCGGGATCACGGAGGCAGTGGACCTATTGACGAAAATGAACGGGACCCGGTACGAGTTCATCTTCACCTCCCTCCTCCCTCGCGGGGACCCGCTGCTCTTCGCCGCCATCACCAGCCTCCACAAGTAAGGCACCGACGCGCATGCAGGGGGGGGGGGGCATAGCGCCATCCAATTGGTCAGCGCCGGCTTTCGGGGACCAATCAGATTGGAAAGTCTTCCTGACGTCACTTGGACCGCACATTGTTTGGAAGCCATCTTCTTGATTACCTCGAAGGTCCTTGGAGGCTGTATTGTTCTTCCAGACCAACCCCAATCGCCGTGACATAAACGAACTGAATTCCGCGCCGTCGTTGTTGGGTCAGGACGTTTCACTTTCAATTTCAAATTGTTTAATTTCCATATTGTTCACATTGTAGTAGAAACTGGGCATAGCAGTTACGACTGGAAATAAAGTTATTCCGGTAGATTCCCTTAGCAATATCCGGCCGGGGAGGAGTATTGAAGTGATGCACTTTCGGCTCGTCTCCATCACAAATGCTGTTTCCAAGTCAAATCGATCAACTCGATGCGCATTTCAATGAGGTCGTTTTCTTTTTGCCTTCCGTTGCTGATGGGGAGCCCGAAAGGAGCTCCGGGGGGGGGGGGGGGATCCGGGGGATTAGTCTTCTTAAATTTCGCAATTTTTTGGATTCGCGGAAATTGACGATTGGAAGTAGGGCAATAAGACAATATTGCAATAGGCAATGTCCCAATCGAAAACGTTCGTTGGTTTATCATAGCTGGAGAAATTGGCTCATCTTCGGCGAATGATTGGTCCGGCCAATCATTCGCGGCTGAGAAGTGGTCGTGGTAGGGAGTCACTTCCCTACTAAAACGAGTAGTCCAGCCGCACTTAAAGCACAGGGGGTGGGGGGGGGGGGGTTAGGGGGATTGATTTTGCTGAAAATAGGGGTAATTTCATAATTAATTTTATAGTTTCTCTATCTCTACACTCGTGAAGTTGATAAGGATGGTAGAGATTGATTCGTAGCCTCAGCTCTCAAAAACCCGGACGAATAAATGGGACACCATCGGGAAGAAATAGGACGATTTGTAAATAATGTTCTATGTCGATCCCACAGGGCATATCAGTCATCGGGAATGTACAGGGAATTGAAGCTGAGGACGGCACTGTTCCAGAAGAAGCACTTGAGGCTGTTACCGGAGGAGCAAGTTTGCAGCAAAATCAGCGGCGTCTGGAACTTGGCATCCGATCAGGTATTTAACGGTCACGTTAACGCGGAAACCGGAGGTTGGAAATCTGGAAAAATGTATTCGTTCACGACAGGGAAACCTCGGGAGTTTCGTGATCACGAACGTCCGGGTCATATGGTACAGCAACAGCAACGAGCACTTCAACCTCTCCCTCCCCTTCCTCCACGTCGGAACGGTTAGCTCCACATACCGGACGGTTATCATCTTCGAGCGCTCCTAACCTGGTTATGCTTGTAACCTGGTTATAGGTGAAATTGCGGGATTCGAAATTCGGGATGGCCCTGGTCCTGGAGACTTCGGAGGTGAGCGGGGGATACGTCCTGGGCTTCCGACTGGACCCGATGGAGAAAATGAAGGAAGTCCAGAAGGAAATCTCAGCTCTATTTCGAGCTTTCAGTCAAAATCCCGTGTTCGGCGTCACCTACTCCACGAAAGGCAAGGTATATATATTTTCTCATCCTCTGTCTCATCCTGATCAACTAACGGGGGATGCACTTTCTATTCCGGATGTTCCAGACATTTTATTCTTTGAAATCCAGAGTGGAACTTGAACAGTCTGTACGATACTTCACGGTGTGTTTCATGTGAAGCCGCCATCGGTGGAAGACGGCGTCGACGATAAAGGATGGGACGTGGAGGAGATCTCGAGCGACCTGACGAAGGAGGAGCAAGGACCCGACATGCTCTCCGCTTACATCCTGGACGGGTTCACGGCCGACTCCCTGCCCGTCTTCTCCCTGGAGTTGGGATTCGCCGTGGAGGCGATCAAGGATGGATTCACGCTCAAGTCCCTGTGGGATGTCGTCCCTCAAGCCGCCAACGCGTGAAGGTTTTCGTGACGGAACATGCGTCTCTTGGCAGGACTGGAAATCGGGGTGAAGAATGTGCTTGCGAGNGGACTGGAAATCGGGGTGAAGAATGTGCTTGCGAGGAAAAAAATGCAGAATGCCACGGAAGAACGTTCCTCTTGCTGTAACTTCTCATGGACATTAATAAAAGTGAAGCACATGAAGCACCAGAATATTCTTGGGAACGAAAGACAGGATTCTCATTTTGAGAACGGTTTTATGGCGACGATCCAGTTCCTCTCATTCCTCCTCCATTACGACCACTGCAACTGATGATTCAAAGTCATCATCTTCAACCTCTATATAGGCGACCACCCCAGCTGCTAGTCAACTGCTCGGGAAAATGTTGAGTTGAATCTTTCCGGCAGATCCAACTGTCGGATGGTAACATTCAAAATATGCCTATATATGTGCTGTAACCGAAGATGACGCGGCAGGAACTCGTAAAAACACCACAAGACTGAAAACAGTTTCTGAAGGATCCTTACCTTGCATCGCTGCAGGTACGTACAAAAAGACAACGTTAATTTTCCAGGCTTCCTCCTATTCCTCTTGACTTTCGACCCCCGTCTTCATGTACGTGCGTCACGACCCATTAAATCGTCCATCAGAGGAAGTAGAGTCCTTGTCCTCAAAGAGCCTCTATAATGGGAGAGATTCTCTCCTTGAAGTCGAACCGCCGATCGAAGGTGAATTCAGATCCAGTTGGGTGTGATACTCGTCTAGCCATCATTTGGTGCAAGCAAGGAGCACGTGTACGGATGAGGGAGCGAGGAGGGGGCCCGTGAAGGTATAAGGCAATCTCCGGCTGGTAATGACTGAGGTTTTCATTACCCTGCTGAATAAAAAGGAGCTTCCCATCTCGCTCTCAAGTGGATAACAATTTCCTTTTGCTAATGAAAACTTAGTCATATCTTTTCGCTGGAATCGGTCTGGGCGTGGAAACTCGAACGTCGTTCTTCAGCGGTAAATCGCGGTCTGAATGGAGCAGATCCCTTAGTTACCCTGGCTCCCCAGAGATGGCGCAGGTCATGAACTCTGTTCCATCGCCTCTCCAGAGGTGGCGCATATCCCCCGCTCTCCAGATATGACAGGAGTCATAGTCACTCAATTCCCCTGCCTTTCCAGTGAAAGCAATGGTCATTGAAATCACACCAATCCTTGATCGAACATGATTTGAAGTCTGACTTACGAGTAACTTAAACTGTGTTCCATCCCATCTGATAATGACTCATGTTGATTCGAATACTTTTTAAAATAAAATCCCTTCTTATTGAGAGCTGACGTCATAGACCTATTGAATAGGGAAACAATTCAGACTTACAATACGTGGAAGATCTGTGCGATCGAAGTAACGCCAACCGTCAGGAAGTCCAGATAACAGTGCAGAAATGGAAATGCAGGAAGCCTTTATATACTCTGGAAGCACCGCCTCCAGCTTGACTGGTCGACCTTGTTTCCCCGTATCCGTTGTCGATACACATCTGCCACACCCCCCTCCCTCCCCCTTCCCTCCCTCTTTCCCAACACGCCTTGATCCCACCTACGCAATATGTTCGTAGCCAATCATAACAAGTTCCAATCCCCTCCCTCCATGCATATTTGGAAGTAGCAAAGTCCTAAATACCGGAGGATAAAAAATTCGTCAATGGAGAACCAAATTCTTCAGAGACTGGGAAACGTCCCGAAGCGATCATCCTTTAGATGTTCATCAGATGTCAATCCATGGATCGATATCTTCCTAATGATTTTGAACTTTTCATCTGGGCAGAATTCCCCTACACCCTAGCCTCAATCATTTTGATTTTATTGAAATTCGATTTTACGGAATGGCGATACGAAAATCTGATCATGGGATTTCTTGAGTCAATTTCTTTTCAAATCTCTCATCTTCATGTCAGTCCGTCTTTGCGCATTCATTGGACGTTAAAAGAAAATTTCGAAAGGACAATTTCTCGTGATATATCGATGACACCCGAGGCCTTCCATCTTGGCCGGACGTTTGGCAGTTCGTTCAAAATCGATAAAGTTCCCACGACGTAAGCGAGGTCGCGCTTAACTTGCTGCTATCTCGATTCTTCGTGTGCCACCGAATGATTCTGCAGAACCTTTCATATATACTCTATATTTTCCCATGTACTAGAAGGACGAAAGCGGTTTGAATGAACCGGTTGGTCTCGAGACGCAACCTAGCCGAAGGAATTCTTGGAAAAAATCCTGGAGAGAGTGGAGTTCCCATGATCGAGTCCATGGGCGATTTTCCGCTTACGATCCAAGTCGCCTTTGGCTTTGAGGAGTGCAATCTGCTGGATCGGGGATGGAATTCTTGGATATGTATGGGAATTACATATGAAACAGCTTGAAAAGGTGGAACGGAAAAGAATCTGTCATGTTAGGACTGGGATCTACTGAATCTTTATCGTGAACGGAAAGGAAAAGTGAGGGGGGGGGATTCGATGGGGTTTCTGCAATTTTTCTTCAAGTTTCTCATTTTATTTCGAAACTCACCATCATGAACCATTTTGTCAATAGTTAGACCAGTGCATGATTCCACTCCCAGCTGGCAAGAGTTGCCTGGAGTCTCCTTCAACTGCGTTATGTTTCGAGACAAAGGTATCGATGTAAACTACTTTATTTCTTTTGCTTGTACATGGGAAATTTTGGTCGGATTCTTATTAAGTCATTCCGTAAAACCGTGATTCAATAAAATCGAAATGAAGCAATGTGAAAACCTATTTTCAATAGCTGTCGTTCCCTATCCTTTCCCTATCTTCAATTCCCCCCCTTCTCTAAGGCACTTACAAAAGGTTAGGACTAGAATTAACAGACTGCCTTCGGGTCATCCAAGGCCTACCTTAAAAAAAAAACTCAATTCTCGATTTATGGGGTCCAAATAGGCGTATAATCCGTGATTTCCGAGACGTCTCGTCGAGGACGTCGAGGACGTATAACGTTAGGCAAATCGCAGGCCTCTTCATACTTTCGCGAAACATTTCAGAGAGGACCTTTAACGATTCACCAATTTGAGGCTCGTTCGCGTTGCATGAACGATTTCAACGTGTTAGGCACACCTGGAGTTCCTGGAACCCTCTCTGGTCTGGGAGGGAATGACTCCAGAATGCATGATAACCATGGGGTCCGCCATCCTGTTAATTCAGTGATGTCCGGGTAAGAAGTCTTCATATCGCACCAAATCGATCGATCACTGCGAACCACCGCTTCATTCTCAGCTCAACTCATGAACTCAGCACGATAATGTCTGATATATTAAAAAAAAAAAACAGAAGATCCAGACGCTGACACGGAGGTTGAATTAGTCCTGAATCCAATGTAATTTCGGCGCGGTATCCGGCAACACTGGGGGACAGTAGCGAACCAAGCTCTCAAAGCCTAATTGAACGACGGCTAATTTCATTATTGATGGCAAAATGGGGCATCACAAACAAGAAAGAAATAAAATTTACTGGGGCTATTCTCTGGGTTCTGTGTTGAGAGAGAAAGAAATACGCCAAATTTTCTACCTGTTGATGCTCTGAGAGGTTGAAATTTTCTACGGGAGGGGGTTGAAGAAAGGCTATAGGCGCTACCAAAGACTGCTGATGATTGAAGGTACGGTGCAGAGAAATTCTGCTCAGACCAGAAGATCCAAAAGATGATCGCTTGTGGACATTTGAACATCTCTGAAAAATTGGGCTCTGCATGGACGAATTTTGGATCGTGCTTGGTGACTGTGACTTTTATATATAGAAATCTGCATGGAGGGGCTGGAAAGGAACCGGTTGGTGAAGGCTGGTATCTTAACAAGGAGGGGAGAACCAAGGCTTGTTGGGAAGGAGGGAGGGAGGGGGGAGGAAAAGGGGATGGAGGGGGGAGTGGCAGATGTGTATCTGTAAAGGATAGGGGGAAACAAGGTCGACCGGTCTGGCTGGAGGCGGTGCTTCCCAAGTATAAAAAGGCTTCCTTCATTCCCATTTCCGCAGTACTGTTTCGTCCACCAGGCAGCAGGCGACCAGACGAGGTGAACATCCACCTTCGGTAAGTCCTGATCGTTCCTCTTTTTAATAGGTCTATGATGATTTCAATTGTTATTATGAAGTGATGACAATGTTCTTGGAACATCCCTAAGCGCTATGATATGGCATTCCGTATCATAACGCTTGAATTGAGGATTTGAACTCTTCGTGCATGAAACACCAAAAAGGTCAAGGATCGGAGAGTTATACGACCATTGCATTTTCTGTATAGGCAAGAAGGGAGAAGCAACCAAGCGCCAAGTCAAGAGGCCATGGAAGTCTCCCCATGATCAGCGTCATCGCTGGAGAGCCTTCGAAATCTGACCTCTAACCATACCCCTTTGGCTGGTACCACGGAGTTCGGGGATGCCTCGGGATAGGCCCGATTCTTTCTCTGGGCTCTATTTTGGTTTCTTGTGGCAGATGCCGCCAACGTTAGGACGTGGAAGAGGAGTCCAGCGAACTAGGAGAGACCGTCCTATCCTCTCCGCTTACATCTTGCCCGTTCACGGCCGACTCCCAGCCTGTCATCTCCCAGAATTTGAGCTTCGCTGTTTGAGGGGAGCAAGTCACGCTCAAGTCCATGTGGGATGTCGTCCCTCAAGCCTTCGAGGTGTTAAAAGCCATCCTTTGACAGCACGTCGAGTGCTGACTCCCAGGTGGCTAGTGATTGGGCTCGGGTCGTAAAGGGGTCGAAGGTTTAGCGATCCCAGGAGGCAGTCATTAAGACCGAAAAGAAGTTTCTCGGGTTAAGGGAGGTCAGCTTGGATGAGGGAACGGAGGGTGGGGTAGGAACAGGTGAGGTCGGCAGGACAAGCTCAGGCTGTGTTGAAAGGAAAGGGAAAACTCTGGCCCTTGTAATCGTCGGTGTAAGCCTCCCTCAAGAGGCCTGACGTCGAACGTCAGGCCTCTTGAGGTAGCGATGGAAAAAGATTCAGTAGCTCAGGTTTCTTTCAGTCAGTTTCCCCGTGCTATGATCGAACACATTAGGTATAGGATCGGATCGGTGGTGTGCTCCGAGTCAACCGAGGAAGTGTCTGTGGACCTTCACGTATGTACCAACGATATTCCCAAGTCTGGCTCTGAACTCATCATGGGCAGGCTGAGGCAGGCTGTTAGGGCGTGTCGGGAGGCAAGGTCGGGGGGGTGCGGGTGACGGTATGCGCGATCCCGATCCGGCTAGACGAGGGAGGAATCACGTGGTCCAGGTCGGAAGGGGTTAACGGCAGGTTGAAGGAGTTCGCGGAGAGGCAGTGTTTCTGGACACAAGGGAGGCTGAGTCGCTGTGGAAGTCCGATGGCTAGGGATGGAGTACATTTTTCGAAAGATCTTTAAGGAAAATGAGCCTTCTTTTAGGCTTGTTAATGGGGGCAAGGGGTCACAAGCAAGAGACAGCCACTATGAGCAGCTTTAGACCGCCGCGTGTTGCTGGGCAGGGAAGAGTTTCTAGAGAAGAGAAGTGTTTCTACGCGAATGCACGAAGCTTACGTAATAAAATAGACTTTGCAAGTAGGGACGTCTCCTGTTATTCTTCCGATGTATGCGGCGCTGATGAGACCCCAGTTGGAATATTGCCTCCAGTTTTGGAGACCTACATACAAGAAGCGTTTAGAAGTGTTGGGACTGTTCTCGCTCGAACGAAGGGGCGATCTTATCCAGGCTTTCGAGATAATTAAAGGAAGTGTGTGTGATGTCGAGTGCGGTTGATTTTTCCAGTTTGATGACAGCAAGAGAACGAGAGGTAACCGACTTAGTTGCGCAAACCACAGGTGAAATTTTTTTTTTTACCTCAGATGAGCGGAAAAATGTGTTGAATGAATTTGAAGAATAAAACTGAGAATGTCGACATTCGACCAAGGAAAAATCCAAATACAAAGGTACATCAAAAAGGAATTTCAAACAATTTCCCCGTTTCATCGAGACACCATTCGGCAGGAATTTTAGGGCTCTGGACGGAATTTAGGGCAATTCATGAGTTTTCATGTTGGAGAGATAGATATACCAAAGAATGCCCTTGGTCATTTCCTGCATGATATTTTAAGCAACATTGGAACTTTCCTTCAAATAGAATTTCATCGAATGTATTTCACGCATTCAACCTTGTATCGGCTGTTGCAATCGCGCTATTTGCGAATACCTGCTACGGAAAGGATGGAACTCGGATTTGGGGTCTTTTCATCCTACTTTCGGCATCGATGAAGGAGACGCAAAGAGGACAGGAAAGACGCAGGAGAGCAAGGACTGATTTGACTGATATGATATGAATTTATTTCACCCTAATGTCGCAAAAAAGATCTCAAGGACGGGCGACAATGATTCATGAATGATTCATGAATCTTCAAGAAGACCTCCACCTTTTCCTTCCTTTATTCGATAACCGTCTTTATGGAACCAGTTCGTGCATACAAGACCCATCCTGTCCTCCATCAGTGGAACTCACATCTTTGTCCTCTAGAAGTCTCTATAATTAGAAAACATTCTCTCGTTAGGGCCGAATCGCTCTTCCATACAGATCCGGTTGGGCATTATTTGTTTAACCCTGGATTGGAATGTTAGTATAGTTATCGTATGTAGCAGGCTTCGGGACGTCCCACAATTCACTTCATCGTTTGATTTTTTTTTTAAACTGCTGGGTTGAATGATTACGAACAAGAACATGAGTATACATTTTCTGTAAATGTCCGAATGTCCATTTAACCATAACCATTTGAGTGCAAGGTATAACAATTTGGAAAAAAGGTCCGTACCGTCGCAGAGGATATTTTGCGTTGCGAAGTGAATTCTGGGAAACCATGAAGGAGAGAATCTATTGAAATTGAAATGAGCCCAAAATCAAAATACGACGGTATTGAAAACACTAGATTAGTTAAAGGATTCATCGGAAATTGTTGTATTTTTGGAGAGGCAGAGGAGCAAAGACTGGAGGTATTTCCCCAATTGTGCCTTCACTTAAAGCAAAGGCATCGGAGCAAAATGCCTCACCCGTTTTTCCCCGCGGGCAGGAGGATTTCGAAGAAAGGAGAATAGCGGGGAGTAGAGGAAGCAGACGATGGCCATGACATACAGCATCCAGTCGAAGCCAATGCCTTGCACCAGTGCCCCGGCGAAAGCAGGTCCTGCGAGAAGGCAAAGGAGGAAATTCCTATGGATGGGGTGTATGGGCATTCATGGAGGGGATGCTGCGGATGTCGAAGCGACCGGGAAAGGGAATGTGCCAGGCGGAGTGCGAGATATCAACCCGAGAAGGCGAGACATTTCCCCAGCATTCCTCTTTCTTTGCATCTGCAGCGACGGATCGTATAGTGCTGTTTTTACGTAGTATAGATATTTCTGAGTCAATTCTCAATTAGTCAATTGAGAATTGAGTAGTCAATTCTGAGGTTTAAATCATTTAGAAAAAATCGCGAATGCGTATTCTTTAAAATAAAAGCCCCCCCCGGGAAAAAGCATTATTTTCCCCGTGTGCCCATGCATTACGGTAAAGCATTACGGAGTGTTGCTCAAGATTGGTCACCTTGAAGAAAAAAAAAAAAACACTAGACCGTGTTTGAGAAGTATGTGGTCTCGAGAGGGAAATCTTCGCAGAATTACTCCATCCAGTCAAATTATACGGTAGAATAACAGCAGTGTTAGTACGATGCAACGTGCACTGAACGATCGGATTTATGCCTGGTGCCCGGAGCAATTACAGCTCCTTTTCCTTAAGAAAAATGCCTCATTGATTCACAAACGATTCTGAGGTCTCCCAAGTCTGGTCTGCTCGTTTTTCGGAGGAGTATGGCGCGGTTTTTTTCCACGACTTCATCGCTCTCACCGACGGCGAATCCGAGACAAAAGGCGACGTCTCCGACGGCATAGACAGTCCCATAGATCGGGGAATGTCTTAGGTCCACCAAGCGAGCCAATTCGGGCATGATACTGGTGTCCACCATGGCGGTGGAGAATCCCAATCCGGCCAACGGCCCGAGGATCAGCCACACGTTATTCGCTTCTGGGACCTGCATGGCGAAACTCGAGGGATTTCATTCGCTTTTGGGGGGATTTAGGCGTGACGTCAGAGACAGACTCACGAACACCATGCTGATCCCCATAAAGATGAACCCCAGCATCGTGACGAGCCACCTATCGAAGATCCTCATCGTTCAATCAGAGAAATTTATGAAATCTGCAAGAATTCAAGAGGTTCACCTTCCTATCTTATGTCCGAGAGGTGGGAAAACGTTGGTGCCGATCAGATACAATATGGAACACGCGAGATAGACAGCGCCTTGTTGCCAAATCGCAGCACACATCGTGCGTTCCATCCAAGAAGGAAGAGTCGGTTCGAGGACGGCGAATACCATGTTCCCGAATAGCAGTCCACCTGTCGGGAATGGAGTCTATCGGCATGGGAATAAATATATTTTTTTTTGCATTCGTAGATGGTACGTGAGGTATGACGTACCTGCAGCGATGCATATGTAGGGATCCTTGAGAAGCTGTTTTAGAGATGGTCTTGCCAGTTCCTGCCGCTTCATTTTAGGCTGCAGTATTAATAGTTGCAGAACTGGAACGACAGGAAGAATCATTACCAGACAGAACAAAACGATTGATTTTCATATATCAATGGTAGAATCAAAGTGGAGCTTACTGGCATCGGCGAGAGCCAACGCAGCAAGGACGACGAACGGCGAAGACTTCCCCACGAACTCATACATGACTCCCCCGAACGTGGGTCCAATGACGCACCCGAAAGCCAATCCGCCCAGGGCTATCCCCATCGCGATTCCTCGCTCGCGATCCTCTGGGTACCGCTCGGCCAGCATTCCCATGCCTAGGAATGGAACAGTGCCAGAGTCGGTGAATGCTTTTTAGGACAGGAGTCATGATATATTTTTTCGACCATTTCACCGAGGTAATTCCTTGCTGACAAACTACGTTATATGTGTGACGTTATTGGCTATCTGCATACCCTGGTGTGATTTTTACTTGTCTGGGGTTTCTCAACGGCGCCGGTAACCTTATTGTGTGGGTTCTTCCTATCGTGAAATCCCGAATCTGAAGAGCGCCATCTGGCGTTTATGGTATAATAGACTTAACTCACGTCATTCCAGCGCTACAACCGCCATTCGATCGCAGAGGTTTCGTAATCCTCGTGTAGAAGAAAGCGATTGTTGAATGCGGTCATTTCTGGGAGGGTAGGGATGGTTTTAAGATTTGAAGACACGATTTGAAGTAGGAAGAAGTCTTTTGTCTTCATTATCTATGAATGAAATCTTTTTGCATCCGATTTCATTCTAAAGGGCCCGATGGTGTCTGTGCTTTCCACCGAGGACGGCGAATACCATCGCACCGACTGGTACAACGCTTCGAATGAGAAATGATCGAGAAGCGAGCGACGGAGACACAGACCAGCGACAGCGGAGCACGAGGACCCGACGCCTTGGAGGACCCGAGCGAGGAGCAAGAACCAGTAGGATCTCCCGAACGCGAACGCTGCGAATAGACGATCGAATGGACCTTCTCTTCGCATGCAGGTCGGATTGATTCACTCACCCATCGTCGAGAAGGAGGTGAGGATGAGTCCCGCGGAGAGCGGCAGGCCGTATCCGATACTGAGGGGAACGAGGAAATCACTTGTACACTCTTAGAAAAAAGGGAGCGATTTTTCTCAATAAAGAGAGCAAAATAGCTAACTCCAGTTTCACCCCCCCTTTCACTCTGGGAAAGGAACAAATTTACTCCATCATGAAGGAGTAAAATTGCTCTACTCCTCCGTGAGTAAAAATGCTTCCATCAGAAAGTGATAGGGATGCCGTGCAAATGCGAAAAACTCTTTATATACTGTGTGTCGCTATATCTCTTTCATACATACGTTGACCTACTTCTGACTGATGTACTGATTACATCACACGTCAGAGGGTGGATCACCTCTTATGGGTGCTGTGGAGTAGTCCGGGGTATCAGTCCTTATCACCTCATTTAATTGAGGTATGAGGAGGTGATGTTCACGGACCTTCTATACACGTTCTAGATCTCCTATGCGGATAAAAACCACTAGCGTTCCAAGGGGGTTCTCAATAGGAATATGAGCTTGTTCATGACATGGACTCTATGAGTACGTCTTGAATATGTGGATAACAAATGATGAAGTGTCCGTGTTTCTTGATTCCTATAATGAGACTAGGTGAGACATATGGCAAGGTATGTATGAAAGAGATATAGCTA